CAGATGAGTTGACATGGCTATACATTAGGAGGTATTCACATTATACATTTCAATGACTGTCCGAAACAAATGCGAGTTAGGTGGACACTGGGCCGCTGGATGTGACATTTGAGGCAGGATGACAATTACGATAAGTGCGCTCAGACATGCGCCATCTCTCCACCACCCCTGTGCGGTTCGGTGGGTGGGATTGGGGGAAGGCGCTACACAGCGTGCGCAACCGTCTATGTGAGATCCTCGAGTTTAAGCGTTGAGACGATGCAGAACAAATGTCCTGCGTCGAGCGGTGTCCCTTGGGCACTGGAAGTCCACAACTAACAACTACTCCAGCCAGTTAGTCATGTCTTCTTGAGCCTGTTCCCTCTTGGGAACTCAGATTTGTAACGACCCGGGACGGCACTATGCGCATCTGCCCTTGCCAAATCTTGCAAACCCTATGTAACCAGTCTGATGTAAGCTTGCTGCTCGCTGCAAAACATCATCTGCCTGCGCGGGACATGGCCAATTTGATGCTCCCTTCAGGTGCTAAGTGTTCATCTTTTCGGCCTCGGCTGAATGTTCACGCAACCATTGGGCAAGCACGCTGCGTCTGCCTCGTTACGTTCTCGTTGCCGCTTCGGGCTTCTCCAAGTCTTGCGCTGTTTATTCGTGCAGGCATCGTCTTCGCACCCAAATCTCTAATCATGCCTTCAAAAATGTCGAAGAGCTCAAACTCGCAGATGCCAAGCCTCAACTTGCCAGCGGTAGCCAGTGCATTAGCTCTCCCTTGCTTCACTGAGTCAACCACCCTGACAAACCTGAAGCTTCGCTGCAATGCTGAATCGCACTGTTTCATGACAAGGAGGGCAGATCAACTTAGATGCTTGCTCTCCTTTTTGGCAAACCACCTGCAGGTCTGCGTCGCATGTTTTCAGCATTGCCAGCCCTTTTGGATAAATGCAGGCCCATGGCCTATGGTTCACGTTGAGGAAAGCCTGCGGCAATTATTATCTGTTGCCAGTTCATCCACTCGTGACTTACGCATTTCCACGGGGGCCTGAGCTGCCAAGAATATTGCAGCACTCCGGGTTGTGAACTCAAGCCTGTAGCCACGGGACATGGTCTCATGCCATGGCAGAAAGACATTCTGGGAAGTTGGCCCGTTCGTGCCGTAGAGCAGTGCCAGGTGTGCGTATGCCCGGCTGCCAGACGCCTGAGGACTTCAGCATCGGCAACAAAAAACCTACAACTTGAGGACAGTCTGCGGCCAGCAGATCCCCTTTTTTCTTCGCCGCCACCTGCAGACATGTCGAGCAAGGGAGCGCTGCATCCCCAAAAAGTATAATGGAGGGTTGTCCTTGGCCCAGTAGAGCAACATGTCAGTGACCTCCCAGGCAGGCTTACAAGGTTTAGACTAAAGCTTAGACATGGCAGCTCTTTTTGAACGCTCCATGCCACCTTGCCCTCCAGAGCGTCCCGGAGCTCGGCATGGAGACCTTGCAGCCAGCTCCTGGGAGATCAAGGCAACAAAAACGGCCATCCCAGAACGGAAGCAGCCGAGAACCAGAGGCCATGACAGAACCTCCTTGCCACCTTCCTCTTCTCCAGTTGGCAGCCCTCGAACCTTTGGCCACCCGAATGCTTTGACAAAAGCTGGGGACCGAAACAGAACGGCTTCAAACTTCTACCAACAGTATCAACTCAAATGCTCACTCGAATAATTGAGCTTACAGACTCACAGACAGCAAAGACCTTCACAACATTTTGCAAGCTAGCGCACGTACATTTGCTTCCGTGAGCATTCCTTATTCGCGGATTGCACCATGATGTATCCCGCCTTTGCTTCCCAGCGCGCACCAGCCCTTTCCAGATAGGCTCCAGTCCTCTAGCTGTCATCTGCTCGTCTTGGCATGCATGGACACAAAGCACCGCAGGAAGGACGCAGCGTGGAGCACGAAGAGGCAACGAAAGCTGGCAGCGACAGCTGACGAGCACACTTTGGGCTTTACTCTTTCGCCCATTTTCAGTGCTGCAACAATCAAGTTGCAGACCGTGAGGTCATAGGACTGCGCCGGTTGTTTGCCCATACTGAGTGGACCTGCTTTGTTAGTTCTTGACTCCATTTGAAGATCTTCCGCTGTCCATGTCCTTCCAGAACATGTCATTTTGCCTGACCGCCTTGACTTTAAAAATGCAAATTTGGTGCCGGCAGACTGCGCGAACTCCACTGCGCCTTCGCCATGCACAAATAAATTCCAGCAACAGTGTCCGTTCATATTTTTGCTTGAAGCCTCATGGCAAGACCCTGTCACCCAGACTGCAACAAAGATATACTGCTCAAATAAGACAAGGTGTTTCGCAAGCGTGCGTGCCTGTCCATGCTCACGTGATGAGACATACACCAACAATGACAGGGACGTCCTCGCATGGTTCACGAGGAAAAGCAAGTACGACTGAACACCTGCATGCTTTCGGGAGAATGTCAACGGCAGAATTGGCAGACAGATTGTCCCTGAATTGGGGCAGCCGCGGACAGCGAGACGGACTAAGTACAGGATGAGCCCCTGCAGTTGATACGCTTTGAAAAACCTCCAAGCGTAGCCTGACTGGGTGACCTCGTTAGCACTGCCAGGGTGTCCCGGGTCCTTCTCCACCGCAACCTTACACCCAGCTTGACTCGACGAGGCCATGGAAGTCTCAAGCTTGTAACTGCACTTCATAATACTTCATAATTTGTAATTGCTCTCTCTCCTTCTAGCCTTCAGCCCACGGCATCCAGAAGCAACCGGATCGTGTCCAGCAACACCTCATTGTGACTCGAACAATCAGCGGGGCAATTGGAAGAAACTGGGGTCAAGACGCGAGGGGACCGCAGCAGCTCGTTGAAAAGAAGCCTCTACAAGCATCATGGCCTTTGTGGCTCAAAACTGCAAGCTGCCTCTGGTCTTGAGTGCGAGGCCCTGCCGGTGTGGCGAGGTGAGAGCGGTCCGGAGCCGGTACCGATTGCGGTGGCCCTGTTGCAGCGGCCTGCACATGTCAGCGGGGAACTTACTAGCCGACTACGCCCCAGCCAATTCGGCCTCTTTACTTTGCCATTGTCCCGGCTCGAAAAGGGCAGCGTCAAGCACTGCCTGCATCTTCCAAAAGTTTGTTTCCGCCACGCTAGGCGCTAAGTTCGCAAGGCAGCAGGCAGGAGCACAACTTGTCAGATTTCTCAGGAGGTTCAAAAAGCAAAGTGCGTGAACGCAGACTTCCCTCATCATGGCTGACTGTGCCTGCAGAAGTGGCTCGCGTAAGAGGGAAACTCGCTCGCGGTCAGCAAAGAAGCCCAAGAGCAAAGGCACCCGAATGTAAGGAGCCGTGAGGTACCTGCCACTGCCCAACTCCAACTCCAGTACAAGAGAAAGTCTAGGCACACAGCCCCTTCCAGTACGACGCGTACGTCAGAAGCAATTCGCTGTCAGCAGGCTTCAGCGTCCTTCGGACGCAATACTGCGCGATAGAGATCTCACTTAATTGAGGAATGCAAAGAACTGCTTGTCTTGCACCACTTTGCTGAGTAACAGGCTCATTGAAGCTGGGCATGTGCTCGAGGAACAGCACGTCATCCTTGGAAGGGCGACAAATGTCAGCGCTTTGGTCGGGGAGAGACAGGAAGCACCTCGGTGTTGACGTCACTACCAGCCAGGACGCTCGCGCTGGCAGCACTGACTGCCTTGCAAAGCCAAGCCCTTGCAAGGGCAGAGCATGGCAGAGCTGCATGCTGCCTGCACCTATGACATCCTATGACATCCTATGGCATCCTATGACTTTGAAGTCTCGCCTTGCTGCGGGATTTGTACCGGCCAAGCAGCCAGTCCAGGGGCTTCTTGATCTCAGGCAAGTCACGCAATGTCACTCACGCAATGCATCTTGACATCGTCCCCACCAGCCAACTCAGTTCGCCACAACTTCCCCAATTCCTTTCTTGCCCTTACGAGTCCAAAGCTCGTCAGCCAACAGCGAATGCAACATCGCCGGTGAAACACAACCAGAGCAGATTGGTACAATTTCTTCCTATTTCAAAAGAAAGCTCAAGTTTGTTTAATTTCCTGGTGGTGACTGAGCCCACGATTAGAGTTAGCCTATCCCTCCATGCTTCTGCTTCTGATGCTGCGCTGATATTTCGTAAGATTTCGATAAATTTAAACAATCCAGCTTCTCGATTTGCAGCTGAAAAGCGCGCAGCGCCATGATCTCTCTCCATCCGTCCAAGGTTTTGTGGGCAGACTAGCTTCAAACCACCAGCTGAAGTTCTCTGTCGTTCTCATCCAGGTGTGTAAGAAAAGACCCAGGCAAACAGGGGGCCACTGTGCCAAAACTCATGCATGGTGTTCAAGTGGATTTTCCAAGCTCTCGTGCCTCTTCAGGAACCAGCTCCATATTGAAACCGTGGACAATGAAGTGATCCTGTGGCATGCTTTTCTGGCTGCCTATTATTCTGCCAAGCGTGCACAGGCCTTGCGCCATGACCACTGCAAGATGGAGTCGGTGGCCTTCACAAGATGCAGTAGGCCCCCCAGTACTTGTGGCTTCAATGTGGAGCTGTTCAGCTCTACACAACATTGCGACAGTACGAGCATCACATGCTAGATCCCTAGCGCAACAGTTTCTTCAGGAATGCACTGAAGGCTTGGCGCACCCGCCACGTGCCCTCGGGAGGCCCGCAGCCGCTGGGCAGAATCAGCATCTTCCACAAAAACACGACGTCTCGGAACCTGAGGAAGCTAGGGATGCTCATCAGAAGCCGATTGCACGGCTGGCAAGCAGGCAAGCTCTACATTGACGTCAACACACGAGGTTGGTGATCCGGCGCTATCAGGAGTCAGCAAGGTTCTAAGAAACCTCATGAAAGCTTTTTCTTGGTGTCTCGCAGCTTGTTTCTGACTTGTTTGCAATGGTCTGATTTTGACGCAACTTCCTTACCTGGATGCCATTCTTGCAAGAAGTAGTCTTGCAATTAGGGGATGCGAGCCCCCTTGTAAGACGCAGACCAACCCAACTCCAGGAATAGCTCTAGCAGCTCCGGCCTGAGCATGTCTTGAGGAAAGAGATTGCTTATTTCCCGGGTTTCAGGAATACGATATGCTAGATGGCGACACGACTGCCTGAATGTCTCAACATATACCAGCGCTGTCCGTTGTTGAGCTGAAAAGACTGAGCGCCGCACCTCTCACCCGTGATAAGGAGATGTGCCTCCCTCCGAGCAGCAGGCACACCTTCTGTCAAAAAGTCTCAAATCAACAATGTGGCGGCTTGGCCTTCAGCAGAATAGCAGAATGAAAGAGGCTGGAGCATTCAGTTGGCATGGTTTACGTTTGCAGGTGGGGCACCAATCGACAGGCCGATCTGCTCGATGAACCTCACAGACTCACAGACAAATCTCGCTCGCCTTCCCCAACAGCGTACCCCCTAGTCTTTCAAATACCCTCAGTTCACATGCGCTCACTACCTGCAACTGTACCGCCATGATTCCACCTCTTCATGGCAAATCTTAGCCAGGTGACTTTCGATCACCATCGCTGCACTGCATGGACCTTTGAGCGCGGCAGGTTACCACAGATCTGTTGACATCCAAGTTCGGCTTCAGCTCGCAACTTGTCGAATGAAAAGACAACGCGGTCTTCTGACAAGCCGCGGCCTGTCAATGCGACCATGAAGCAGGTGGCCCAAATGGAATGCTGCACGTCCCAATCACACCGACGCTAAGCTCAAGTCGGATGGAGGTGAAGTAGTCTAGGACGAGAGCTCTCAAGGAGGCATACCTTTCTTGAACATACGAAAAAAAAAAAAAAAAAAACACAGCACAGGAAAACATGTTTGACAAGGAAACCTTGGAGCAGCACTCTGGCGCAACAAGGAGAAGGCTCTCGGACGCCTGGCACAGGAGAGGCGGCAACGTCAGCAGATATCCTTCAAACACCTCAAGCATGATAAGTCCAATAGTGGATGCAGTTGGGACATTTCAAAACGTCCTGTTCTCAAAATATTATACTATCTTGGGTTGCAAAATGCCACCTTCTCAAAGCCTCCAGGATCTAATCCAAACCTCAGACCACAGACTTGTGAACCCGCCGGGCTGTGAGATCTGTTATGTTGGCTATTTGGAATTGTTGCGTCTCCTTCGACTTTTCCATATACCCATCCTGCACGCTACAGTGCCACAGAGCAAGTCTTGGGAGCCCGCATTGCTGTTGGCCCTTCGGCCTGACTGCTTGGCCACTCAGAAAGCTCTGTTCTGCCATGCCTACAGCACCCTGCAACCAGGCCTTTCCCGAATAGTGCAGTGTCACCTGGCGATGGCCCGGCACCCCCCACCCTGCTATCCTCACTTTTCTTAAAAACTGAGGCGAGATCCTGTGATGCATCCAGTGAGCCAGAACCCTGGAAGTTTGATTCGTGACGGAGAAGGGCATCCATCACCTGTACCACGAGGCTTAGTGGCCACTTCCAGACAAAGAACAGTTGCTCAATTGAGGGCCGAACAGCTGCAAGACCACCGGCCTAAGAGATACATATCTTGTCTTCTATGTGCCACATCCCAAGCAAACTTGGCTGATCGTGCTAAGTCACGTGCAACGCATACACGGGCACCTGTCACTACAGAATGTTCAAGCTGTGCAAAGCATGCTGCGGATCTTCATGGCGCGCACCATCAGTCTCCCGGTTCTCTTGAAGGCTGAAGGCGGCAGCTGCAAAATGGCGTGCCTTACTGGCCACTTATGTCTATGCACGTAGCTTGCCTGCATGGCTGGGACACCTGAATAGACAGGATGTCCAAGCTTGCAGTCGGAAGCTAAGATTGCACACGTGCGAACAACAGGTTTGACAGGGTTCTACCAGGGGGTGCCACCAGCTCTGTCCCAAACCTGTTTTTTTTCTGTGCTATTGTTGTTGCGCTGCGCTTTGGCCGTGCTTCTATAATGCATGTAAGCGGTGAAACTATGAGAGCTTGCTCACTCGGCCTCCTCACCCTCCTCATCTGAACTGGAGCTGTAGCCCAGCCCCAGACCAGCTGCACTGTCTTTCTCCTTCTCCTGATTCTCTGCGGCTGGTTCATCTTCTTTGATGGCGGGAGATGGGGCAGTAGCAGTAGCAGTCTCCTCGGATGGTGCTGGCTTGGACTTCTTTACCGCAACGAAGCCTGGCAGTTTCTTTTCTTTGCTTTTCTCGCTCTTGTCTTTGGTGGCCTGAATGGAACATGCTCACAAAAAAAAATCTACACAGCACCTACAGAGCAAACCCGAATGGCCTGGAGGCGAAGGGAAGGAGATGCGCCCTGCGCACTTTGTGCCTCCTGAAGCAGGGCGGCCACTTCCTCTTCCTGCTGCTGCTTGCGTTTCAGCGAGCTTTGTCGTTCAGCTTCCAGATCTTCTTGGCTAGCAGTAGCTGATGCGAATGCTCGCGCATTCGCTGCGCTGTATCCTGAACAGGCGAAGGGTGACGAGCAATGATATGTGCGCATGCTGCGATGACATCCTATGCCAAAGAGATCCAAAGAGGAGGCCGAGCTTCGGTTCACCTGGCTGGCATGAATCGCTGCACGGCCCTTCTGCTCCTCCTCTTTAGATCGCCACGTTGTAGAGTTGGCAAACATGCTGTTAATCCTGTCGGGATTCAGCTTCGAAAAGCTCGCGTGATGCTTCCAACGGGTGAATCCAAGGCATGAGGTCCTCTCACTTGAAGTCGCCATTCTGTAGGATCCATTCACAGCGACAGCAGGCACTCAACAGCTATGGTTGCGTTTGAGAATCAATGCTTCGCGGCAGCTGGCTTCGTCTAGTCTAGGTGCCGGCATAAAGCCATCAAACAGCTTCCTGATGTCCGAGGGCAGCACAATCAAGTACAAGTGCCGCATTAGGTCTGCCTTTCAGCAGTCGCACCAGCACAAAGTGAGCTAAAAGGGTCGCTGGGCATCTCATATCTATTTACACATACATAAACATATTAGGCTTGCACTATCGCCGACTGAGGCCCTCGTTTCCGTGCAAGCTTCTGCAACGCAAGCAAACTACCAAGCCGAGAACACTATTGCTAAGTCTGCAGTGGCAGAACCAGCCCTGCTCATGCAACAGATGCATTAGCAACAGCGCTTCTGCTCCTTGCAGTAGCTGGCCTCATTCCTCAAGGCTTTCAGAAGCGGGGTTAGTCGGAAGCAGCACCGCGGTTTGCCAGCAAACGGTCGCAAAATGTCGCAAATGCGCAAGGTAGCTCTGACAGTCTGAAGCATCACAGCAAGTCCGTGCCAAGCAGCAAGGCATGCCGTCCTACCCCGCAGCGCTACAACAGTTTCTTCGCACAACGGAAACCCATGCTAGTTGCCGGCATGGCCTTGGTCTCATAAACCATTTCCTGTGCCCAGAAGCACAGTTCAGCCTCACAGATACTGCCGACAGCCCGCTCCAGTCCATCGAAAACAGCCTCCTGCCTTACGAGGGTGATCCAGAGGAAGCGGCATGGGTAGTAGGCGCCTGGACGAGAAACTGACGCCCAGCGAAACAAGAAAAACCGCCCGGGGCAACCACGTAAGCAGGTGTGCTACCACGGCAAAGCAGGAAGCGGGAGCATGAGATATCTGATCCTGCCGTGTCTTGCTTTCTAAGTTGGGAAGTGTTGACAATTCTCAAGCTGTGGAACGCCTGCTGGTTGATGAGCAATGTGAGCAGTTGAGCCTGGGCTGGCTGAAGCATGACACTGTGGTGGTTGGCTTTGCCTTTCCACGGCGCTGCTTCATGCATCCTTAGATTCAGACTGTCAGACGACAGCAGGAGGCCGCCTCGAGCGGCGTCCGGACTGATACTGGCCTGGAGCAGTCAAGCGAGCCTACAAGCCTCCCTTCCGCAGTCCTCCGGGAACGCTAAGCTATGCTAAGCTTGTCACAGGCGCGAGGTCAACACCTCAACGATGAGTATAAACACAAGCGACATGCCGCCACGCGAAGCTTCTAGCCGCATGACCTGGATGCAAAGCCAAACCTTTTCAACTCAGAGCAAAGCAGGGATGAGGATGCGAGGTGGGTCGACTTCTCCTTTGAACTTTTCCACATCCTCTTTGACAAGTCGTTCAAAGTGTCCAAAGCCTAGCATCTTGCTTTCCAGCTGCTCTGCGCAAAGGTGCAACATTCGGCTGAAGCTGGAATGCAAAGCTAAGGGATCTGCGAGCAGCTTCCTCTTGCAGTGCCGGCATTGTTGCACAGGGCGGCTGCGCCTTTCACATCTTTGGGGTCAGACACTGGTCTCTCTTCATTAAATGCGCATTTCACTCAGCGCAGCACTGACTGCAGCTGGCCATCAGACACTTCGATAGCAGCCACCTTCTGCAGCACCCTGTCAGCAAATATGCGACATCGCGTGAGCTAAGCTGTTGAACGACATTCACATTGCAAGGCCTGTCAGCAAGGCTGCGGACCTGCGACTTCACGAAAATGCGCGGCGTCCAAGCACGTGTCTGGAAACATGCCGCTGCTCAAAAGTGCTATGGTCTGATTGCTGCACAAATCAATCCGTGGATACAGCTCGGAATGTAAGGCTGTCCTTCTCGAAGGCATCAGGCGGAGGATACCTGACGAGTCACCAGCAGAACAACCTTTCAAAGAAGATTCTCGCAAAGGACGCATGCGATCTCTTGCTGGCACCTGCTCCCCCCAAAGTTATCGGAATGTTCAGCGGCGGCTCGGCACAGTGCCTCTGGCAAATCTCTCACACATGCCTCCAGCCTCTGCAAGTTTCTCTATGAGATGCGCGGCCACATGCAGCATCAAACGGCAAAAATGTTGATGAAGAATTGTCCGCTGCAGAATACAGGACGGCCCTCAACAAACCACGACAAGTGCATGGCTACTCCGGGCACTGAAAAGTGTAGCGCTTCCAAAGGCCTGGCCAAATCAACCCGCAAAGTCTTGTCTTTCTTGTTGCAGTGGTACAGCTGCTGCAGCTGCTGCTGGTGGCGGCAGCATGCTGGTGGCGGCAGCAGGGGCAATGGCGGCGGGGGCGGCGGTGGCGGTTTGTGCTGGTCATGGCAGTCGCAATGGTCGGCAGCGGTGGAAGGGGTAATGGCATGAAGACGAGCAAGAAAAGGCGCCCACCGATGTTGCAGCATGAACCAGAGCAAGTTCGCCGGGAGTAGTGTGGGCAGCTTCCTCAGCAAGCTTAAAACTTCTCCGGTCTGTTACACTGGCACGGCGAATGATGGGGCATGGCCATTCGCCATCTGAGAGTTTGACAGCTGGCAGTGCCTCCTCAATTGTCCTTCGACATTCTGTGGGCAAGCATTAAGCTTCACGCAGGCCATGTTGAGCGCGAGACTCAAGCAAGCCGATGCGCGACTGGACCATACCCCACCAAGATGCCTCTGCACACATAAGATGCCGCTCGTTCAACATATCAAATAGCATAATAAACAGGGGAAAATATCCCCACCTCCTCATTCGATAGTCCAGCAGCTGCCAAGCAGAACAGCAGAGCACGTTCTACGCAAAGTGCGAATGACTTGTCCTTAGACATTGCTTGCAGCAAATCGCGTTATAGCAAATATTAAAATTATCCCTCTCTCATCGTGAGCTCCGATCAGCTTCATTGACGTTCATTACACTCACCGCGCCCCTTCTAAGTTCTCAGCACCTCCCGCAGGAATGGGCAACGGCCTGACCGCAAAGTGTCGCAAATCATGTGGGCCACAGCAGTTCCTGAGTACGATTGAAGCCCTTCAGCGTTAACGTTAACATTCTGAGCAAGTGATCATCGTTGCCTCGCCCAAGCCTCAGCCCTTAGCATCCGCTGGCAGGAAGGAGCTGCTGAAATCCCCTCTTTGCACATTGTAAGTTGGCAGTGAATGTCAGATCCTCAAGGGTGCGGCACAGAGTCGCCACCGTCGCCAGTGACTCTCAACGGCTTCTTGTTGGCAAAGGGAAGGATGACTCCGTACAACGATCGCGGCCTGTTTCTCCGGGCTTCTGACTTCAAAATGCCTGTGGAGCGAGAATGCACGGGTACCCGTTTGAATCGCAGGGGAAAAGGAGCTGCCGGTAGATGAGGTACCTTTCGCAGAATGTCTCCCAACATGCAAGGCACACATCTGTACACTTGGGGCCGACCAGAATGCACTTGAGCAAAGACCCGACCGGCTGCACCCAGAAAGAACCTGGGAAACCAACGCAAATACTCAAATACTGGTGAGGAAGTAAGACAAGCCTGCTAGATTTGGGTCTGCAAGGCCCACACCAAATTATCTCTCAAAGGAAGCCCAGGATGTGGAGCTTGCCCACTGGCAACCACAGGATGGTACCTGGTGTCCGATCTACACAAGCGGTATCTGTCACGGTCGGGATGGAAGCTCGGATGCTGGCTGCAAGCCCTCGCCAGTGTTTACCACCTCACCCAAGCTGGACAAGCTGCCAACTCGCTGTGCGCCCCAACATTCTGGGAGCCTGGCGGCTAAATGGTACTTTTCACTGCTCTCTTTTTTGCCTCGCACGAGGACGAGCAGCCTGGGTACTCTGATGCACTGGCAAAACTTCCTTCCACTTCAACACCACTGAACTCCGAACCATCACAGAGGCTGCTTGACAGTTGCAGCAATGTTTGTTGTATCAAAGGTGGTGATTATGCAGAAGGATAGCAAGGATGAGGCACTGCTAGCACGGCCATAAGCAAATGACCACATGTGATCGCATTTGAGGAAAGGGAGATAGCACAGGCTCCGGCAGACAGTGCCCTGCATCATCTGCGACATCGCCCTGACTCTGACGACTTGCTGAGCCACATACAACCCTCTCATGCAATGGCTCAGCATGCAGGATCGCAACATACCTGACCTGGCCAGAACTTCCACTGCACTCACTTTTTCGCCTCCTCCTTGGAGACTGTGTCACGCAGCCAGCCTGACGTTGTGACACTTGCTTGGCAAAAGGCTGAAATGGATTGGTCTTCTGCTCGTTTTCAATTTGGCAGAGTTGTGTTTCGTAGCGGTGGAAGCTCACGGTTTCAGTACGTAGCAGGAGGACGGAGGGCAGCTTTCAAGCTAAGGTACTTGATTCAACGTCTTCGAGTGCATCCTCGGCTACATGTCCGGGCTCCGGTAACTTAACTCTGATAGCCACATAACCACGGTACGTCGCAATGCCCTGCCTGATTTCTCATGGACGTATCCTGTATCACTCGAGAAAATCAGGGGTACCATCCATCAAAACTGCGGGAGCTCTTGAAATCTAAGGGGTCTCCACTCTCCAGCAGCAGATCGAACAAATGAAGCGGCACAAACAATTTCGAATCTAAAGCCAGCTGCAGAAGCGCAGATCTCCAAAGACGCATCCATAGGCCCTAAAAAACACCAACAAAGTGGTGCGCAAGCTTGACGTCCTTGCATAGGTGCTCGCGGCTTTCACCCTTGCCGTGCGCATGGGATGAATCTGCTTTGAAACAATAACATGGGGACGAGCGTGTAGCGTGCTGTCGACGAAAGACGCTTTTTGTTGATCAGCCGCATCATTACTTGTTGGTAGCTGTAGCTGCAACCGACATGAGCAAACGAGAGGGAAGCGCACGCCGGCCTATCCCACGAAAAGCTTCACACTGCTTTGGGGGTGATGCTGGCGAACAAGCACCGTCTTGCAAGAAGCATGTGTTAGAGCTGTGAAATGTGTGTGTGTGTTGATCTCAGAAAAGGGCCAGCAGGAAGCATTGCCATGCCACCCTCCGGGACCTGGAGCATGTCTACGTACTTTCAACAGAAAAGACGAGCTTAAACATGCTGACAGGTTCTCAGCGCGCCTGTTTGACTAGCTGAACCACCTCCACAACGAAGGCATGGAATCTGGCTTCAAAGGCAGACACCTGTGCAGCGGTTGCTGCGGCCTTTCTTTGCATTTAAAGGTCCAATCCTGGGCTCCAGACTGTGGCATGCTCAGCTGCCAAGGCTTCCTTCCCAGCACATCTAGCCCGGCTTTATACATTCTGCAGCTTGAGCTGCATGCCTCTCGGAGTAAAGGGTGGGGCATATCCTGCAGAATGGAAAGGCAGAAGCTCTCAACGCCTCGCCTGAGCATAGTGCAATCATGTGTCACCCAGGCGCCTTCGTTAATTCCAGGCAGCGCTTCAAAACCTGCGCACTGAAAAGAGCCTCTGGAAGTGCGTGGCGCCGTGGTGTAACACAAGTCAAGCTGAGGGGCACACGTCCTGCACCTCTAACACTTCGCGGGGTGGAGCATGCCGAGTTGATCGGCCTAACCAACCGTGAGCCACCTGCAGCGCCTCCGAGAAAACGGGGCCACGGAAAGCACTTTCAACCTCTTCACTGTGTCATTTTGTGTCACTTGTCCAGGTCGCCTCTGTCAAGCCATTAAGGCTTGGTGCGGAAACCACTGCAGCTTCGGGCTTCGGGCCTCAGGGGTTCAGACACGAATGAGCGTCCTTGAACAAAGTCAACCCTTTTTAGGACCCAGCGCCAGCCCTCCAACACCTCGCAGGAAGCCGATGGTAGAATCACAGCTGATGCCAAAACTACTCCTAGGCAGATTGTGCCGCAGTTGCCACTATCAGTCCCCCAAAAGCATCACAACAGCTGGCACTAGCAACATCAAGTCCTGTAGCAAGTGTGTTGAGTACCACAGCACAGCACGGCACATCGCTGATTCTGATTCCCGCCTTGCTAATGTCGGGCAAAGCAGCCTGGCATGGGCAGCACACCGAGTCTTACGCTTTTGATGTGTGCATCCAACCTGCCTTGGGATCTGCCACAAACTTCGCAAACAAACTGAGTCGCGAGTCAAGCCTACGGGTCGTAGAAGAACGAAAAACTGGCAACTGTCGGGCTGCAAGTCGAGTTCCAGGCTCTTCTTTGGCTGCAGACTTGAACAACTTAAGTTGTCGCTTTGCCTCCAGCAAAACAGGTTTGGAGTTCTCCTGAGAATTCAATCATTCGATATTGAGGCGCCATGAAGCGCCTGCTTGACAACACGCTCAACACCCTCCGACTCCTGAGAGGTGACATCGATGACATCTCTTGATGCAACTTGGGTCCAGCTGCATCAGAATGATTTCTGAAATCCTCCAATTCTGGCGGGCACGATGGTAACACCTTACAGCATGGGTTGTCGTGCCGCCAAAGTCTCTGCGGGCCTTCGTGGCAGGATGCTACATCTCCTCCCGCAAGATCAAGGATGGCTGGTGTCGCCAGAAGAGGACGAAGGCCTTCGAACAACAACTGAAGCATTTCGGACACCAGTCGGCCGGAAAAAAAGGTTCTACCAATGTGTCTAAGAGCAGAACCAACATGCTCCATCGCACGAAGAACTACTGCATCGTCCTTACTTGTTTATCTTTTAGAACGCTCTTAAGGCTACCAGGTTGCACCTGGCTGCGTGCACAAGTGGGCCCGCTGCTTTGCTGATGCTTGGTTTGGTTCTGAACACAAGTGAAGTCGCAAAGTGTGGAACACCCAAAAAGCTACCCTAAACTTGGAAATCTAAGCTCTAAAAAGAATGCTTGCACTACTTCTTCGTCGCTCGCGAGCCCTTTTGGCGCTGAAAGTTCAAGGTGGTCCGAGCGACCTGTCATGTACTCTTTCTGAATCATAGCATCACTTTTACATGCTTGGTGAAACCAATATTGAAGCTCTGCCTTTGGCAGATTGTGCCTGCTGGCCAGTGGTCGCCAGCACCTATCTAGAGGTGACAAGAACAGCAGAAGCACGCTTGCCGCACATGCATTCGCCCACAGGCTCACATTGTAACTTCTTTGCTCTTCCGGTGGATGAGCTCCTCTTGGAACAACCTGGTACCAGCTGCACGGATGAAAGGGATGGGATTTGGGGCTGGTTGCTGCGCATGGCCTCTGCATTGTTCGGACAAGATTTGGAGGATCCACCTCTTGACGACTCATGCGGATGAAGTCCAGCTCCTGGGAAGCGCTTGGAAGCACTTGCTCTGCAGTCGGGGCCTGACTCCGAAGTCCAGTCCTGACTTCGAACGACCCCTTTCACCCTGTTGTCTTCGCTGGGTGGCTTTGCTGCCTTGCCACATTCCACAATATTCCACATGCAGCTGTACCATGCACGCTCTCATTGCGGACGATTGAGGCACAGGACGTGCTGGAAAAGATGCGCAGCAATTTCTTTGACTTTGCTTTTCCTGTCCAGATGCAGGATCATTGCCACGGGAATCTAGAGTCGTCCTGGCTGAGGTCGGAGCTGCGCAACTTCACCATGAGTCGTACGCACCAGCGCTTCTGCCTCCTCAATTGTCCTCTTAAAGTGCTTGACTTGCATGTCGTGGCTTCGGACATGAGTCAGCCCAACTTCTATCTTACAACTCAAATCACTAGACTCTAGGCTGCAAGCCCGACCTACCACAGCGTTCTGGAATAAGTATCAACAAATTTCATGCAGACTTTGGTAGTCGATGGTTGGCCGCTCTTGCACGAGAGCCGGTGCTCATGTACACACGATTGGGGCATAGTACAATAGATGGCACTTTACGGGCCAAGGCTGTCAGTCAATTCTAAGCTCGCACGTGGGGCTCAAACATGCATGTGGCACTCTCCTTGGCATCTGGGATTTCGCCATCGATGGGATAACCTGCGTCTGCAAGCAACTGACAGTGTGCCAAAGATGTCATCTCCGTGCAGCTATCACGGCTACTCACTATTCTTTACCGCTGCTCGAGCTAGCACAACGCCTCGTGCGGCACTGCCAGATTTCCATGAATTTGCACGAATTTAACTGCATCATAGCGCAGAATACGATTTAGATGCAAACGTCTTTGTTTGAAGAGTGTGCCAGCTGTCTCCTTGGCACTGGTACCAGCTGCACACCGTGCAAGCATGAAAACATGGAGCTTCCATGTGGCGAAGGGCAAGCCAACGCCGGCACGTAAGCATGTCTCCTATAAACATGGAAAATGCAGATTACACAGCGTCACTTGCTGAGATTGCATGTTGCTGAGTGAGCCTTCTCCTGCTTGCTCGCCTTAATGCCAAAAGATTGAGCTGCCTTGTTGTCGGCCATATCGCACTGAGCTGCAAACTTCGAGGTGTGCCGCATGCCTTTCTTGGGGCGAATGCTAAATCCCTTCGGCATCACTTGGTCGTTGAAGGTATGGTTCACTTAATGAGGGCATTAGCCGCATGCTATCAAACGGCCCTTCGGGCTCAAGCCTCGAGAGGGACACCCTGGCTTCAGTCTTCTCTGCACGACGCGCTCTGAGAGCGGTGCCCCAAGGCTTGACCGCCGTGCACCCCTGGCGCCTGCAAAAATGCGCTGATCTGCATTCAGCCTCCTGTGGGTGGGTCTCACCTCGTTGCCCTCGAGCTGGCGGTGCATCCACTCTGGCCTTGAAGAAATATGCCAGCTGTCCAAGGGATCATATGTTCTCTCGCGTCGGCTTCATTTATCCAGGGTCGTCGCAAGCGAATCTCTCGAACAAGCTTGTTTTTGGCGGGCGGATGCCTCAGCTTTCTTTCGAGGCTTTTCAAAGCCTACCCTGCTTGAACAGCATTGACTGAAAGCTTCCAGCTGTCGGGTGCGGTCAAAGGTAGGGGTTTGGGTGAAGCGTTAGCTTGGAATCGAATGGATATTACATTGCCAGACGCTCTTGCTCTCCAGTGTTTTTTTTTCAGGCCTAATGCTGTTGTTTGGGTGCTCTGTTCGGCTCTGCAGCTCTTGCAAGAGGTCTGTACACTATTTCGGGTGAGGGGGCTGGCTCATGTTTGGAAGGTTTCAAAAAAGTCTAGAGCTGCTCTCCTCTCTGCTGTGCGGAAGGCATGACTTAAAGTCTTTTGATTGAAGCTATGCAAATTTCCGGTAAGGTACAATCAGTTCGGAGCTCCAATGTGCGGGGTAGGGGCACGCGCACGCTGAGCATGGGCCTTTCTGCGCCACCCCCCAAAGCAAAAGGGAAGCCTTTCCAGCGCCATGCACTTGGCTTATAAGATGGCAGGGCCCTCCTACACAGCTTAGGGCCCCGCAGGAACAGCGACATTTCAGGGTTTTAAGGTCGATTCCAGTGCATAGGACATCAGGATCCAGCAGGACAGAGCAGTCTCTTTCAGCTCTTGCAGCTCCATGAGAAAAGACAACTGGTGTCAGGTGTTTGCACCACTCTTGCACCCCTTCCAATGTACCAACACTTCCGGCAGATGTGCAGGCTGAAGCACTGCAACCAGGGGTAAATCATTAAGTACAGTTTGAATGATGCACGGCATGGCAAGGCAGCAATGTAGCCCAGCCCAGTTTCAGTCAATGCCGAAACCTGATTGAACGATTCGGGATGGTGGCATGTGCCCTTCAAGGTTTTGCAGGCTTCGTCGCTTTTCTGGGCGTTCTCAGTCTGGTCCCCTACTTGACTCAGCGCCTTGCCTTGTGACACAGCCATGTTAGTGTGGTTGTGGCGCTCCAGTCGACTGCAAATTTGAAGGCAACTTCGAGGCTAGTACTAGCATACCAATGTGGCGCTATTCTACCTGCGTTTTGCCGTACCATCCTGCGATGCTATGAACATCCAGCCATATTCAGACCGAGTATAACCTGGTTGGGAGCTCGTTGTAGTAGGCTCCGGCAAGGACAAACGCTGACAAATAACAAACGTAAGCACACAGACAGGAAACTGGTTCTTGATTTCGTCAACCCCGCCCGGGCTTTTGCTGAGCTTGTCACACGCCCATGGGCAGAGGTATGATTCCGCTCTGCGTAGGAAGGCACCTGGGATTGTCCAGTCATGTTGGTGTCATTCTTGATTGAAAAGCGTAAAGCTGCTGGGTGTCGAACTTCTCCATAGCCTTAAGCACAGCAGCCTTGAACTTCTCGATATCATCCTTGAAGCCTGCAAAGCTGGCAGTGAAAGCCCGTGGCATGTAGTCCTGCCTCCTGAGTATGAGTATGCATGATCCATGCCTGGGTTGGAATTCTCCAGGGCCTGCGCACAATTCCAAGAAGCAAAGTCTTGCCAGCGTTTAAGGCCCAGGTTGCAGGCCATAAACTGCTCCATGACAGCTATTCGGTGCTGCTGGACAGGTCCGAGGCCTCGTTGAAAAGTGTGGAGCATCAACACACCTCCATATTCTAATCACCAGGTCCTTCGATCTATCTCTGGTAGCAAAGTACACAACGGACACCACACTCCAAAATCCAAACATATTGGAAAGGCAAACAAAGACACGATGTTGGACTGCTGGCATCAGAGCTCTGGCATGACCATGAATGACAGGCTCCCAACGTGTACATTGCATTCGAGGCCCTGGCTGGTGCCAGCTTGTCGACGCATAAGCTCGAGCCTGAGACATGAATGCTTGCGACTTGAAGAGGGGCGATATGACTTCCGCGTCTTCTCCAGTTCACTGCCTTCAGCTAAGCACTCAGCAGGCTGGTGACTTTTCGCAAACGGAAGAAGTCAATGCCAATTCGACGATTGTAGACCTCGCTTTCAGGGATCAGAACAGGAAGCTTGTAGATGGAAACGTTGGATGTGAGCACCTTGATCCTGTCGTAGTCTGACCAGACCCGCAGCGAAGGCATGGACCTAGGCTAAGCCCAGTTGTGATTGCATGGGCCCAGATGTTCTTAACCCATATGTATCTATATAGATGTGTATATATATATATGTCTTAAGGCTTAAGTGCCCAGCTGTTGCATGGACCTCTGCAAATGCAGGCAAGGATTGATGAGTTGACCTGAGCCGATGTATGACGTCAAGTGAAAATAGATGATGATGAACAGAACACGGGGGAAGAGAGAGAGAGAGAGAGAGAGCAAGAGAGAGAGAGAGACAGGGGAGGAAGGAGGGAGTGCCGAGAGGGGAAAACATTTGAGATCAAATGGGCAACTGTGTGCGCAGCTAAACCTGTAGCAGAGCTCAATGAAGTCTTGCATGCGGAACCTTGAAGCAGGTTTCAAGAAGCACGTCTCTGTCATACTGGATGATACATCGGGACACGTGCTTCGCCAAGGGCAGCTTGGCGAAGTTGATGGAGTTGGTGTTGAAGGCTTGCACCGGACCTTGTCCCCGGCTTTGGCCACACGCAAGCACATTGTAGCACCTGCCTTCCTGCACAGAAAAGCACCAGACAAGTGTAATAGTCGTCGTAGAACTCTTCAAGCTGGCTGCTGGTCAGGTAGTGAACCTCATCTCAGTTCTCAGGTCGCTTCCAAGGTTGCTTGCAGACAAATATTCACACTTTTCAGACAAGCGGTGGTGTCGTCGGCACATGCCAAACTCTGAACGAATCTGCGCGGGCTGTGCCGAATGAGCTCTTGCGACATGGAGACAGGAGAATAGAAGAAGAGCACTGGGATGCCGGCTGTCCAGCTTTTCATCTCTTTGCAGACGACATAAAACATGACCTGCATTGCTGTATGCGGCCCAACCTCTGACCGAGCCTGGCACTTCCACGAACGGCACTTTTCCGCGCACCCCTCGGCCTGGCAGAGCTCCAGCTTGGAAAGGGCACAGAACCTCAAGGTGAGGTAGCAACGAAGCAACGAAGCAACGCGAACTCGACATTCAGGCATGCACTGCATAGAAACGTACAGGAAGCCGTCCCACGTGACCTCTGCCGTAGGCGCCATAGTAACATTTGCAGCAGGGATCGAAGTTTTCTATTGTGTCCAAACGCTGAGGGCAGCGGCTGTGTCCTTGTAACCAGCCAGGTCCAGCAGAAGTATCAAGATCTTAGCCACCTCAGTTCTGGCAGTCTTCATTCCATGAACAGGCGTCACTGGAATCATTGGCATCAGGCCCACTTGCGATGGTTCCTGACCCAGGATGCACCAGCAACGATGCAAAGCTTGCAGCCTGCGCATCCACTGAGCGACCAGCTTAACCAACATGGTCATGCTGGTAGTGCTCACCTCAACTTTCAGGTCATTGATCTGCGCATTATCAAGCACCAGCTTGAAACCAGTTCAAGTACCACGCTTCATCTGGCCCCACACGCAAGGTGATAGAGTCATACCGTTTCAGCCTTGATGCGGCCGCTTCAAGGACAGGCACCACGTACGATGTCGTCACTCTTAGACTGTAACCGCTTGAACGTCTTGTAGAACTGCATCACCCTCAAGCCGGTCAATCAAGCAAAATGTTGGCGTGCACTCTTGGGCATGATGGTGAATGTTGCATACTGAGAGTGCAGAAGAATTGAGGCTTCGACAAGCGGGGAGTGATCTTCATGTCTTGAAGCAGCTCAACAACCTGCGTCTTGGACTGGACTACGCCCACTGTTCTTGTCAACTGCTGTCTCACATAGCCTCCGTAGCAGGCTCTGGCGGCTTGTCAGAGGAGAACATACCCAAGCAAGCCCTGGCAAATGTCAGAGCTGTTTTTTTTTTAATCAAATGCAACAAGGTTGCTGGCACCTGAATGCGCCTAGGACTTGGCTCGCTGTGCTGAAGATGATGTTCTCTTCCTGCAAGTACTGTTTGCGAAACCTTCCCAGTCCCACTTATTGGTACGAGCTCCTCTGCCAAGTCTGGAAGGCGCCACGTGAAACACAAATCACCAGCCAGAAGGGACTTGCAAAACGTGTGCACAAATCTCCCACCTGATCATCTGCATTTCGCTTTGACCTGACCATTGCCTGCCCAGTAACAATAGAATCTCACGCTTGGGACCCTCACGCCGCGGGGTGGCCAAATGCACACATGAATCACGATGCATGGAGCTTGGCCTAGGCGAAGCTCACGTGGCTCAAAGCTTCATCATCTCAGCCACATTGCAACCATCACCTGCTACACAACGGGACAGCACTTGACTGTTCAACTCGAACTCTGCTACCTTTGCCTCCTGAAGTCAGAGTGGCGGTGGTGCTTCCCGCTCAAGCCACAAGCCGACGCCAAGCAGCTGCAATAGTCGTGGCAGCCAGGAGATGCTTGTATTCAGAAAACTGACTAGTGGGCATGACCCCGCAGCATGTAGGGGTAAACACAAGACTTGATATCACTTTTTTGAGCTTGCGCAGCTTCGGGTTCCACTTCTCGGCATCGCTTGCCGCGGCCCTCGCCTGCAGGCGCTGTTTCAACTTCCTGGTTGGCTGCATACGTGCCATGCAGTGACCGCACAAGCATTGCTGGCTTCTTGCCAGCAGTCATGACATTCTGCTCGACACAAGGGGAAGCCGAATCGCAGACTACCAATGCATAGCAAACATTGTCCAGCAGACTATTGCGCCGGATAATGCAGCTGGACTTGCCGGCAACCCTGATCGCCATCTGTTTGTGCCCTCGAAAAGTGTTGTCTTCGATCTTGGGGGCTGCCTCATCGCGCACATCGATTCCGGCTGCAGAGTTGTTGATGAAGTGGTTGCTCACAATGTGTGCAGATGATGTGCCATCCATGTGGACAGCGGAGCAACGACAGGCCGACAGCAAGTTCCGCTCAATAATGGGGCTCGCCTGATCACTGACTAGAATGCCATAGCCGTCATTCTGCTCGAGATTGTTCTCTCTTATGGTGGCCTTCGCGGTATCCCTGATACCGATTACGCAACGCCTCGTGCCCCTTCCGAGGCTTGCACCTTTGAGCGTCCCACCCTCCCCATCATCTGCAGAGCCCGCTCTCATGGGCTCCTGCAATGTGTACGGAATATTCGTTTCACCAGTCTTGTTCCGCAAGATTTTTTGTTTCTCGTCAACATCGACCCACTCCTCACCAGTCTGGCCAGAGATATATGCCAACTTGTGCGTCAGTTGGTTCTGCGAATCCTCCCGCTTCGAAACAACTTTGGCCCGCACCTTGCCAGATGAATTGCTAAACTCGATTACGGGGGCACTCTTGCCATTTTTACTCAGCGTGTTTCCTTCCACGAGAGCAAAGGCCTGGCCACTGATGAGAACAGCTGCACCATCATTTTCTTGCATGAGGTTGCCTCGAAGTGTGCCCTTGGAATCGTGCTGGAAAGCAACTGCGGCCATTTTGTGACCCCGTAGCTCGCAGGATTCAATGTGGGCAGAAACCTGGCCGCGAACAAGCACGCCGCAGCCGTTGTTGGATTGCAGCCGCGCGCGTCTCACTTCCACAGTTGCTTTATCTCGGAACTGTAAAACTGGCGCAGCATTTCTCTGCATGAAACAGTCAGCGATCGTGACGGATGCTTGCTCCCTTGCAAGGAGACATACGTTTCGGTTGCTTTCAAAGGTGCAGTTGTCAAGTTCTCCGACAGCGTCATCTCGGAAGATACATGCCGTGCGCTGGCATTCAGTGAAGGTGCACCCGTGAAGGCTGGCAGTTGACGTGAATTTGACAATCACGCCTTGGTCCGATGAAAACTTGCAATTCTTCATACGCAAGCTTCCGTTCGCCACCTCGACACCGCAACCGGGACCCTCAAAAGTCAAATTTTGCAGGGAAGCCTCGCCTGGACTGTCATGCCGGACTACTGCAAATTGTGCAGCTGCAGCACGTTTGAAAACGACATGCCCAACTGCACTGCCGACCAACTCGACTGGCCTATCTATCACGAAGTGTTCATGATATACGCCAGCAGAAAGGCGGACTGTCGCTGGCCAAGAGGGAAGCTTCTGTAAGGCTTCTGAGACCGTCGGACAATCCCTTGGCACGCAAATGGCGAAGCGTAGGTACTGCCAGATTAGGCGATCCAAATGTCGTCTCAGATGGCTTCCCTGCGCAGCAATCCTGGACACAAGTTCACGGACAGCCCGACGGCGAAGCCACTGCAGCTCCACGTCCATCTTGGCTAAGCCGGCTGAGCATGGCTGAGCTTGAAGCTGGGAGCCGAAACATCCACAAGATGCCTCAGGATGCTTCAGGATGCTTCAGGGAAACAGGCAAAGAAAGGCTTCAGGTAGAAGCTGGCACAAGGCAAGGCATGTTTTGGTCTGTGGTCAGGCAAATGTCATTTGACAGCCTCCTAGCATTGAGCAGTCATTTCTGCTGCATCTCAACCATGGTGATGCATGTTGAAAGCTTTGCCTGCAAAAAATAGAGCTTGGTTGCAACACCTTATCCCCGCAAATGCAAGCTGCAAGGCATTGAAGCCACCTCTAGTTCGGTCAGGAGCTTCGTGGACACGCTTCCGGCGGCCACACCTGCGTCAAGCCTTGACAGCTTGAACGGCTTCTTGGTGTTGCAGCAAATGAACCATCAACACTGGAACAACTAAGCCTGGTACGAAGCAAGCGAGGCTTGCAAGCCTACACTGCCTGGAAGCAACTTGCAGATGCCGAAGGATGCGCCCCCCAAGTCACCGATCAATCTCAGCCAAATGCAAATGTCTTCTGCCAGCCGACGCAATCCCTGGGCCTTGGCCTGTACATGGATTTTGCGATCATGTCATGCATGCTTGATGCTCTGATAAGTGTTCAGCAACATCTGGTCTAGGTGATAGATTCTGACATGCCCATCATTCGCTCCCTAACCTATCGGATATCACCAATCGCGAAAACCACGCGCACGGGCAGCATCTCATCTTTCTTTTAATTCTAAGTGACTTTTTTCATCCAGTCCGTGCTCAAGGTCAGTCCAAAAACAGGCTGGATCTGCTTCTACTGTACCGACACAAGAGTGCCACAAGCCAACATGCAGCAGGCCAAAAGCCAAGAAACCGGCAAAGTCAACCAAGGCTAACACACCAATAAAGCCGAGATGCCAAGTCCTACCAGTATAGAAAGCTAAGCACCCAAGCTCTCCAAAACCAAGTAGTGAGGGACAACAACACAAAGAAAGGCATTTTTGGTCGCGTGGTAGTCACTACCCGGAGCTTACGAGCACGGCACTCAATAATATGTTTTGGTGCTTCTCTGAAGCTCTCATCTGTGTCTGGCGGTGCCTCAAACAACGGTCTGAGCATTAGGTCCATCTATAGCTTTCTTGACAGCAAGCATTTCGGGCGCCTTTTCGGAGCTGATCTTTCCTGGCATCTTGTGCGTTCAGCTCAAGGATATGCCAGATTCCCAAAACTAGAAGTTGCTCAGTGCGCTCAGCGAAGTGCACCGAATTGACAAGCACGCAGGCAGCGCCACTTGCACCTTGCATCATAACGTGTGACGCCAGTTCAAGGAAGAAGGCCCCATGCTTCGTCTGGCACAAAACACCTTTTCATGTTTAGTCACAATTATGCCACACAGAGAACTTGATTGCCTTCGCGGACCTGGGCGTGCGGGATTATCCGTTCTTGTCAAGCCTTGCGGCCGTCCCTAACTGGACTCACTCCCAGTCCGGAAAGCCAGGGGCCGGGGCGAACATATGGACGTGAGTCGTATCCATTACTGGATATCGTTTACACACTTGCCTTCCCAACGCTGCATAGCGCAGCATGGCATGGCATGGCAGCTTCCTGCATCAAATGGAAGTTCTGTACTCGGATAGGCACGTGGCGACCGCGATCTCGACCTGAGAGAGGTAGCAAATATGCTGAGCAAATGACTCGACCCTTAATGAGGATACAGCATTCATGGCATGTCCAGCTGTCTTACAATCAATCTGATGGGCCTGCGATGCATCTTCGGATCGGAGCTTGACTCCTGCCAAGGTACATGGTCGAGCTTTGTCCATATCATTCGCCCGTTGACTGCTGCCTGCGGTCCGGCGAAAAAGTATGGGTCCAGGTACGGATCACACGTCGCAGTGGACCTGGACAGTATGAGGAGCCAGTTGTCAGCACCTCCTTGCGAGCAATGACTTAGGGCCGGACCCCTCCAGCGTGTCTGCAGCATGGCGCTCCTAATCCACCGAGCAGAACGACGATTGCCAGCAGCATGTGGCAAGACAAAGAGTCCTCAGCCTGCAGTGCGGCGCTGAGTCGTTCCACAAGCCTCACTTCTCTGCGTGCAGAGCCATAGGTGGACTGTTCGGAAACGCAGCCATTCACAGAACCCTGTGGAGCACACAGTCAAGTGTCCAGGGGTCCAACGTGAACTTCTTTCCGCTGGTGTCCAGACCCCGCCTCAAAAAGAGCCAGGCAAAGCGAGGTTGAAACGTGTTCAATTGACGAAAAATCGTCTCTGGGCTGGGAACTCCTGAAGCTGAGCCTGCAAGAAAACATACAATTTTTCTGAGTTGCTGCGAAAGGTTGCAATGAACCTGCGCTAGATGAAGGCTGGAAGTGCCTGCAAGTCGCTGTAGTCCAAGCGGTTCAAGGACCGCACATCCATCTCTTGTTGTCAGACTATAGTTTCAGTGTCATAGCAAGCTTGCATTGCATCTCTTGCTTGCATTGCATCTGCATGCAGCAGGGAATGTGCTCTTATGCGGCTCCCGCTGCTGAAACGCTCCCTCGCCCGAGCTCGCAAGATCTTGTGTGGCTGTGACGCTATTCGTGTTTGGCCGGGCTCTGTGCCAAGCAGCGGGTCAGGATCATGCATCTTGTCCACAAGAATCAGTTTCCAAGTGGCAAGCTGCTGTTTTGAGCGCGAACTCCATGAGGAGCGATGTGTTTGTCAGCCCAAAGTCACTTCTGTACACTGGAAGCGCTTGCGTGCATGGCACTCCTGAGGAGCTTCCTGAGCTAGCGTCAGGTGTCACCGAAATCAAGTGCAGCCGCATGATGAAGTCATGAAAGCACGTTGCAACTGAGGCTCAGGGTTACAGCGTCACGCCGATCGAGTTCAGATTGAATCTCGCGGCCTGGAATGAAAGAGGTACGGCTCCAAAGCAGGTCGGCAAGTAAGAGCTTTCGCAGGAACCTGAAAAGCCATGCCGCGCCCATTGGCGAACCTGAAAGAAAAGAGTGGCTCAGGGCTGTCTTGACAGTACTCTGCCACTAGCAGCCTCGCGAAGCAAGTCATCAATGATCTCAGCAGCAGACAGCACCTTTCAAGTCTCTAGCATATTTGCGTCAAGCATGAGACTGCAAGCCGCAACACACCAGTCGAAATCCGCTTGGCCTGGAAGCCAGCATTCAACTCTCTGACCTGCTGCGCTCCCCAATCTCGTTCGCACAGAATGAGCGTCTGCTTCGGGTCGCAGCTGTTCTTGTCAAGGCGTGCTAGGGCGTAAGCCGCATTCACTGTCTCCTTGGCTGCTGTACCTTTTCCTCTTACTGCTGCAGCAACACTTCACAGCGTGATGCATTGCCAAGATTCTGCTGTGGATGGATAGTGAATCAGCCTGACACAGCAAGACTCAACCAACGCCTTGCATTTTGATGTGTTCCCTGCTTGCCTGGGCAGCGGCTGGCCCATCGACTTTTGGACCTTTACTGCTGACACTTGGTCGACCACATGGGCAGTGTCACCTCTCGGGACAGGGCATACAACACAATGCAAACTCTTTGGGTTTGGTTCTGATGGGCTCAGCTCCAGGCGCATTAAGTGCGCAACGTTTTGGAATCGCTCCGGACAGCTGGTCTCGAAGCAGAAGGTTGGAAACGGGTCGTCGGAAATAGGTGCGAGGACCTTGCTCAGCGTGCACTTCTTGCAGAACATGCCACCATTCCAACATGTTACAACCTTGAGCTACATGGTGTTCTCCTCACATCCAAGGCACGGCAAAGTCCAAAGCCCAAAGGCGCAGCCTCCTCGTGTGGAGAAAAGCATAGTTTCAAATGCATGCTTTGACGGAAGTGCTGCCATGTGCTGCCCGAGAGTCTGCAGTATTGGCGCATGAAAATCCACCAAGACATCAGCTTCACAGCGAGACTGGATTCTCTCTCGGCAGGTATAACGAGCTCCTGCGCCTTAACGCAGATGGGAAGCTGCTTGGAAGGACTGACTTGCACGACACACTGTCCTGTCACTGCAAGTTCGTGGCTGTCGCCCAAATACACCTGGGAGGTGCAGAGAAGCACTCGAATTCATTTAAATTTCAATTAACAGTGGTAAATTTTGAAGTAAACTCGCCAGCGATACCCGCAGCAAACGAATTGACGATATGTCCACGCCTTGCTTTGAGAGGCTTTGGATTACCACAGCAGAGATGGCGCGGAAGGCGTTGCTTGCTTGCGCCTCAGCTATCTTCGACTGGTACCAGGAGCCAGGTCATTCAGCTGAGCAGCGTATTACAAGAGTCACCGTCGCTGGTGGCACAGTTGCTCTTACACATCTAGGAATGGCTGTGCTGGTCAGCTGTTCCGAACATCCCAAAACCCTAAGTGCGGAAAGCATCTACTGAAGGAAAAACATATGTACGGCGGGGCATCACGCAATGCAGAAGCAAGCATCAATTCCAATTTTCCGGGCACGGCCAAAGAGCAGGATCTCTGTTCCTCAGGCTTGCAGAGTGCCAGCCAGCTCAACACGCCAGCCCAAGACCAAGCTTGGGTTCGGATGCGCGTCACTTAGAAAAGCTATCTGAAGTAACTGCCGCTCATCGGCCTATCCTGCATAAGCCCAGTCGCTCTCCGTTCCGTCCACCTGCAAGGTTAGACACAACGGTTCAACATAAGGAAAGAAGATACGGCTTGCGGAGCTGGGAGAGAGTCCCGACCTCAAGGCAGAAAATCTTCTGTTCCGGCTGTCCTGTCTGCCCAGGTGGACCACGTAATAACCACGAGGGACGCACAGCATCGCCCAAAAGCGGCCGCCAGACCTCCCTATGCAAGACACTGAGATACGGAGAGCAGCACGCCAACACAAAACGCACAAGTATGCGGGTTTGGGTTTGGAGTCTCCAAAAATCTCTCGAAAGTCTCAAGGCGCATCTCTCAGACCAAGGCACGGCTGTCCCCAAAGCTTGGTCTTCACGCCGAGGAAGAGGGGATATCTAAAGCCGAATGTAATTTTCTCGGCCAGCATTCTCATGCTGCTTGGGTCTAGAACGGGCAGGACGTGATACTTCCCCTTTCTTGATGCAGTCGTGTATGTAGCAAAAGAGAAGTCGCCACAGAGCCGAATGACCCGCTCCTCGGGACCGGAGGACAAGGGCGGTTCTTCACCTTTTTCCACCCGCTCGTCAAACTGCTTCCTGGTAGTCGTCGTTATTTGGGCAAACCGGAACAACTGACCCAGCAATCCAAATCCAGCTGCTACTGAGCGCACTGCATGACACTGTCCAGCTGCCAGCAGCCTTGAAGCTTTCTCAACTGGGTCATCAATCTGAAGCAGTATTTCTGTAGCGCTGTACCCCATGGCATTGGCAACCAGAGCAGGATCCTGTGTCAACCATACAACAGATGGTAGAAGCTGTTCTGTTGCATAGCGCAGGAGGAAAAGAAAGGCAGCCGGGTGTGACCAATTCACCAGCAGCATGGCTTCAACCATGCCAGCACCAAGCGTAACGCTTGTACAAATCGCCAGTCTTTGCATGCCCATGCGGTCCAAAGTGGCTTTTAGAACCCTCTTCGCGAGCCGTTGCGCTCGCTCCTGGGACCAACGCCTGAGGCATTCCTGTGGATTGGTCACGAACTCCGCATCTGCCGCAATACCTGCAAGCTGGCAAGGCATGGTAAGACCGCTTCTACGCAAAGCATGACACAGTATGTTCCTCCGAAATGACGAGCTGCGAGCGTCTGGCAGGTGGAGGACAAGAAGGTGGACAAACTCATCCAAGTCGATCTTTCCATCTGAGTTGGCGTCGGCCCTTGAGATGCACAAGTCGACATACTCCTCCGCATGTACTTCCATGCCATGAGGCAGTGCTGCAACACGCCGCTGAGCATACAGCCGCACAGGAACTCAGCTCAAAGCGTAGTTCCAATGGTAGCTTCAGGCGAAGGGGTGGTGACATGGGATGATCGGGGATGGTCAAGAAAATGTGGACGCGCACGCAAGCGGACGCCGTACGCGTGCGATGCTTCGTCTGCCCATCTTAAGCATGCTTTCGAAGTTGAGCTCAAAACCAAGAATGCCTCGCCAACCAATGAGCATGTGCATGTGCTGTGAATGCCAACTGTACTAGAGACGACAAAGGGATCAGCTTGAAATCGTTGCCTTGATCAAACTACGCGCTTCTCGAAAAACACGTACATACGTCTGGGTTACTCAAGGTGGGCTTCTTCGCCCGCACTGACTCTTATCTGAGGTATGCCCTCGCAAGTCCGGTCTTGGGAGGGCTCTCAACGCAGTTCATAGACGTCAACAACACGTTGGTTGCGCAGTCCTCCGTCAGAGACAGCTCGCTGCCTCCTTTCTCGCCAACCTGCACGCGATTCAGCAAAATGCCTTGCTCTCAGCGTTGGAAATACTTGAAGCCTGCAGCTCCCGCAGCATCAAATTCTTGACTTCGGGCAAGTCTAGATATCCGTTGTTGTCTTTGTCGGCTTCCTGCAACGGCAAGAAGCCACATGGACATGGCCATCATCATGCTTGCAGGAGAAGCGAGCTATTTTCAGCCCATTCTAATGTGTGAGTTGCTCTCATTGGTGGCTTCCAGGCGCGTTACAACACGAATTCCTGGAATAGCTGCCGGTATGCTTCGCGCCATTTCTTGGCTGCCTCAGATGATGCAAACGATGCGAAGCGGAAACGTCTTCCTGTGCATCTTCTGCTCACCTTGCGAGGCCTTTGCTCGCACAGACACAACCACGCTGGGGCACAACAATCTTCGAAGATGTCTCTGCGAAGCTCCGTGAGCCAAATCGATTGGCTGACAGCTGGCAGGGCCGGAGCAGGCTGGATAGTGGCATGCATCATCTAGGGAAGCAGCTTCTGCTGCCGATTCCAGTCGTGGCTCTTGACTACATGTACACCAGTTGCCCATTCATCGTCATCTCGCAGGCTTCGTTTGGTCACAAGCTTAGGGTGCATGATGAATTGTATGTTACTTTGATTAGCGAACCGATTTCTAGATCTACAACAGCCACGCGCAGACGTTTGAGCCTCGCACTTCAAAAACAGGCAACAGGCGTCAAGCCTTGCATGAGTAAACCTTCTGTACCAGCATCTGGCAGAATCCAATGCTTCGCTGTCAAGATCCCGGGCGTGTTTAACCAGACGCATTGAATGCAAAGTCTCCGCCCATATATGTCTGCATCAACAGAGTGGTCAGAAGCAGCAGCAACAGCATGATGCAGCTACATCTCCAGAAGTTGCCCCATGTCCTGCCAAGACCAGGCCAGTATGCAAGCTTTGTAGCGCAACTCAAATCCAGGTTCAGGCACGAAAGTCTGGCTGCTATGTCACAAAACTAGACTCACATGATGTCTGGCTGCCCTGGGCCTAAATTCTGGACTGTTTTGCTACTCTGCTACCGTGAGCCGGCCCTGAATCATGGAGCATTTACGCACACAGTCAAGCATGTCAAGCGAAGAAGCGGCAAGGAAGAGTCCTGTCAGCTCTCATTTTCTGCAAGCTTCTCCAGCATTGCAGTAGCTTCGCCAAACTGCGCCCCACCTCATCTGATCTCATTTGTCTCAATGAAGCGCTGCAAGCTACAAAAGCTTGTAGTCTTGCGGCACCGTATCGGTGCACTCTGGGTATCACTGGGTGACAGGCACACTTGGCAAACAGCTCCATGGCAGGGGATAGTGCAGGCGGTTTCTCGCACTGACTCGCTTCTTCCTCAGGTGCCTAGAGCAAAACACACCACAAATATATGCAAAACAGTCGACGTTCCACTGAGGTGATGGCGCTCACCGGTGGGCGCTCCTTGCTCTCGTCGAGATGCTCTGTCTTTCCCTCGGCAAACCGCGCGAATGAAACTTACAGACGCCAGAGGATCCACAAACCTGTACATTTCGGAGAACAGCAAAGTTCGTGAGGTGCAGGATGGCTGTACCCCGTGCATGTCAAGATTTGCCCCTGAATAACATGAGCAATCAAGCACCTGGCTTTCCGCAGCAGTTCTTTGCAATTGCGAAGGCAGGCACGGATCTCTGCACCTGAAGACTTGATGTCTTTCCTTACAACTGCAAGCTACGCAAATCAAGGCAGCAAAGGCATATGTCAGCACGGCGCTGGTGGGCATTAATCTCGCGGCTTCACGCAAGTCTTCCAAGGAATGCTCCAAGTTCTGCTCCGGTCCTGGACTCAAGCTGGGGCAACTGTGCTTTGCCTGGTTTGCATTTGGATTTGTAATGGCCCATGGTTCTTCGAAATCAACCCTTGGCCTGGCTCTCCAAGTGCTAAGGCTCGCCTGTAGCGAAGCTTCGCCTTGAACCTTCGTGTTCTTTAGGACACACTCAAATGCCATGCTCAACGTCCTGAGACACGCACGGATCTGCTTCATTCCCAGGCAGCTTGTTCACATTCCGAAGGCCTAAGTGAGCTGCCTGCACACAGCGCGAATGTCCAGGAAGGCAACTCATGATTCTGTGCTCTGTGCATCTTAGCCGCAAGGCTCTCTTGCAAATGGTGCTTGATTGAACACAAGATGGGCTTGCTGCTCGCAGTGTGCCCTGTTCGCCTATAGCTGACTAGCACACACATGCGGTAAGCCCAACCTGGAGGCGGTAGCGAGAATCCCTAAATCAAATCTTGCTGTCGTTTGGTTGCCTGTCATTCCCGGCAACAGCACTTCTGATCGCCTGACTCGGGATGTTGTCCGTGGATATGTTGATGTTTATTGGTTACGCTGAAATGCCTTTCAAGCCCTTCAGCCACTCTGATTCATGTGCTTCGCGGGCGCCAGCCAACAATGGTTGGATTTTACTGCACAAGCTGCTGGAGCTACATTACTTCTTTGGTTGCACTGCCCAGAACTGAGTAGATGTTGCAAACCTGAGCAAGGCATCACGTGCCGTCGTTTTCATGATCCACGTCCGGCCCAGCGAGCAAGCCAACACGGCTTGCCCAATTACCCCCCAAGCCACTGCCTGGACTTGGGTGCTGCGTGGGGACTGCTTTGGATGCAATGGGGCTGTGGACTCTTGTAATTGTTCATGCCGCTTACCCTGCAGAATATGCGGCATCAGGACAACCATAATCTGTGCATGATTGTGCTAAGCTGCTACGGAAGCTACAGCTACAGTAAGCAGCTCAGCATGCGAAGGTGACTCACTTCCAAGCGTAAACGTCCAGCGCCTTGACAACGTTGCCAAAGTCTCCCCTCTTCAAGAAGACTTGCGCCAGGTTGCTGAGAATTGGCAGCAACTCCCTGGCAACAGCCAGCCTTCGGACATGGCATCCGGTGACCAAGTCAGAAACTCCCCAAATAACCCCTTGCAACAATCTTGCTGCAGCGCCTCTGATCATCTGTCATGTCCATCTGCTCGCTGGGTGTGAAGTCCACTGCATGGACTGCCTCAGAGGCACTGGTTTGCGCAAACCACCGAGCAGCCGTGAGCAGGGCATACTTTGTGCCAACAGCACTGCTAAAAAGCATGTGCTTGCCGCTTGGACAAGCCGAACTCAGAAAGTCAAGGCATACTACAATACTACAAGCGCTTCTACTACCGATTCACGCCATTACGTTCCGTCGGCATTTCGTCATGCATATACGATTTGACTCTGAGAACTACATCAATAAACTTGACCATATTGGACAGTAATGTGAGGCCGATAGGGCACGCACCAGTGCTTAGAGGGATGTGCAGGGCTGCAGCGAGAGTGACGCAAAAGTGCTTGCTTCACCCGCACACGAAGCACATCCCACAACAGAACAAAGCGCCGAGGATAGGGCGCCCAAGTTGCAGTGCAAAGCTCTGCGATAGTCATCAGCACGATACCTTGTCAAACGAACTGCCGTCTGTAAGCACAAGCTTACCTGCCTCAATAGAAAACTGCAGTAGCATGCCCTATCTTCTTTGTAGGAGCTTGAGGCAATAATCTTCTCTTACGCCTGCTCCCACAGCCTAGCTGATCTAGCGAGATTCAGGTGATCTACAACAGCGGCCCCAAGATGTCTCAAAAAGGTGACGCGGGCGTCAGCCAGCCAACTTAGAAGCCGACCATTTGTTACCCATCTCTCTCAAGCGATGCGCATGCCGCACACGGGCCTGCTCTGCACATGCTTTCCCGCAGCTATCAGCCAGCTCTAATTTGACTGACTGTGTCACCGGCCTGAAATTCATCAGGCCGACATAGTCCTTCCTCGATGAGCCAATGCAGTAATTGCCGGTGTTCGCCCTCTTCCTGCCAAGTACACAGTACGAGTAGAAGCCAACATGCCGAGTCAGGCAGTGCACAAGCACTCTGTCCTCACAGAAGCTTCGCAGCCAGTGCTCTCGGCCTGGATTCAGGCAGCATCGAGCGTCTGCATCATATGCACTGGCCACTCACTGGCCGCCATGGGCACTGAGATGCATGCCCATCTCACGCTGCTTCTGGAAGTCTTGCTTCATCTTTGCATCAGACGACTGTGATGGCGACATGCTGCTAGGCATGGGCCAAGTCTGGCAAAATGTGATGTATCTATCAAGCGTTAATGACGTCACTTGTTGAAACAGACAGAAAGTAGCCTTGTTGCCAGCTCATTGCATTGCTTGTTTGTTGGGCTTCGGCTACATATTGCTGTCTGACTGACTGCTGCAAGATATCAGAAATATCCATTTGAACGCTTGCAGGTTCACGGCACTGAATCTGTGATCATCTGTGCAGTTGCGCGTCTCTTTGAGTCTAGCCTGGCATTCCGTCTATGTCTATGTTTGCGCCGCCAGCACTGGCACCGCGCTTCGTGAGAAGAAAGCCTGGCTACACTGTTGTTGCCCGGAAAACTACGCCTTTTTAGAACGTTAGAAGCCCAGCGTAGACATGCAGATATGCAGAGCGCGGACATTGCCTTGGCATCGATGGCAGTGGACTCCCCCCTGAGGATTTGCACACAAGTATTTGTGCACAGAACGTTTGTGCTGTACATGCTTGCAGTTCATGGCATGACTGCTCTGATAAATATGTTTTGGCACGTTTGGCTTAGGCAAAAGTGTCGTCATCTGGTCAAACTAAAAATGCTGAATTCACCTGCAAGCCAATGTGACGGTTAAAGTGGAGATGAACGTCAACATTGGAGAATTAAAGCCCGCACTCCATGGCAGAGGTCGTCGTACGCGTCTCTGCATAGGGTTTTCGGGCAAATTCAAAACTTCGGCGGTCGAGTTACTAGTGGACCGTAATGCTCGCCACCTTCTGAGCAATAAAACACCTTCTTGGCAATAAAACACAGCGTGCACAACTTAATTCCATGCAGCAATCTGCACAACAAAAGACCGAGATGGGCGAGATTCTATACATGCTCCATCTGCAGGTGCGTCAAAAACAAATGTGCCACCTCTGAGGCCACCCTTTGGTAGGAGTAGCCGGTCAAAGGCTTTCCTTCGGAATTCAAGCGATCGATTAAGAACTGATTGCAATCGCGACCCTTGGCCGCAGCCTCCTCTCGACCGTACAAGCGTAGACCTCGCGCCCCATACGTCTGGTATGGGTGTGCCTTTAATATGCTGCGACTTGCATGGCTGGCGTAGGTGCCATAGAGCACATATTCGGAGACGCGCTCGAAGCTGTCGGCAACTTGAAGGATCTTAAGGGGCCAAGCCGCTGCAGGGTCCGCACCAGCGAGATTGGACTCAATCAACTTCAACATCTGCTCCAGAACTGCTTTGTTGAAGACCATGTGATGCGCAATCCAAGTTCCGCCCTCGCGTGGCTTCGTGGGTTCGAGCTTCAGGATATGCCGTGCGCTGGAGTCGTAGGCTTCCTGGTGCCGCTCGGAAAGGTACTTCTCCTGATGGGAAGAAAAACTTCCACTCGATTGGAGGGGGGTCAGAAGCCCTTGCAGCCACCCGATGCTGTGTTTTGGGGGGTCCCTGGGCTTTGACTTTACCAAATGGTATTTATGACTGCATGAGAACGCAAGCCAGGGTGCACCTCATGAAACTTTCAAGATTTCCCGAGGGGCTTTGCCGGCTTTGCTCTGCTGTGGAGCGCTCAGACACATGAGTTTGGTCCTCTGGATGGGGACAGCCCGGGCTGCTACTGAGGTAGCTCGTCCTCGGGGAGCGTGTCGGCTGCACCAAGATCTTCACGACCGTAGCTTTACAGCTGACAGTGCTGAGGCGCTATTGGCCACAATGTCCAACAGTGTCGCGCTTCAAGGACGTGCTGAAGTCTCAGCTTGCCCGGGTGGAGGACAGGGCCCTCTTGAGTACCTGGTTGAGGAGCCTCGTCGCGTTAAGCTGTGCCTCGGGACGCTGTGTTGCGTGACCAGTGTTGCCTCTAGAGGTAATGGGCTTCAAGCTTGCAGCCGCTGCATTGCAGTTCTTGTAATCCTGACACGAGTACCGGAGTCCCCATCAAACAGCTGCTCCCTTCTCTGCGACAGGGCTGGAGGCCTCACAGTGGGAGCAAGTTTGCAAGCATAGACGTCATGAGGCGGCTGAGCTTGCTCATGTTACAGGAACCCAGATTCTTTAGTACGACTTTACGCGCTAGGCGAGCCATATAGTGCTCAGCGCGGAATACCGTGCTGCTGCACAGCTTTCTTCGGCATCTCCGGCTTGCTTTGTGTACCGCCGGGATGCTGATAAGGCCCGTGGGAAGGTTGTGAGGCCATCAGGGTTGGCACCATGTTTGGTGGCATTGCTGCCGTACAGGATGGGGGCTCATCGACTCACTGCGGTGCAGCGCCGTTCGGGTCTTGAAGAGGCAGCCGAGGGCCTAGTCGGCCAGTCAGCTGTCGGCCTGGCCGAGGATCTGGGATGAGAACAATGGGCAGGAGGGCCATGAGGAGGAGAACTGATCTCCTGTGTGCCCGTGCCCTTGAGTGCTTAGGACAGAAGAGCGGCTGTGCACCTGAACACAGTTGCTTGGCAGGATTCTAGGCCTCGCGCCTCAGCTAAGGTGTGGCTTCCGATTTGGGGAGTCCCACCGAAGAGCTCATCATCACATGGCTGGATAGTCGTTTGTTGCTCACCGTTCTATATGTGCAGGTTAAAGACATCGGCAGTAGCCTCGGATGAATACTGGCCATCAGGACACCTGGTTTAAGGAAGACATCTGTTGATCTGAAGATTGGGCAAGGCTTCAAGACGCACCGTCACCATCGTCACCCCATTACAGCACAACGTAGGTTGCACAGACCCTGCGCGGTGGGACTATTAAACTGATTGGGCGTCATGCATTAGAGTCACAGAAAAGGATGGTAAATGAACATAGCAGCATGAGCCAGAGAATGACCATATATTACAACGAATTAGCACGGACAATCACCGCAACAATGATGGTCCCAATGTCCTGCAGCGGCGCGACGTAGCACTGCGTGTGGCTGGAGTCTGCCAGCGGCCAGGCATCAAGCACGATCAAATCCGCATCCCACACACAGAAGTTTTCGGAAATGTCCTCAATGCACTGTCCCACTCCTAGCTTCAAAAGCTGTTGCCACCACCAGCCGAAGTCGCGTGGGCTGTTGGTGCCCTTCCAGGCTTTCTTGAAATCTTCTCTACTGAAGCCCAAGGTCTTTTGAAAGTAGGACTCCTCGTCCACAAAAGACACTTTGCCACGGGGAAGGCTCCACTCCTTGTTTTTCTCTGTGCTGTATTCCGACGATTCAAGACAACGCAAGCCCAAAATTGAAACAGTAAAAAGCCCTACTGCGAACTAGGACTAGGACTCCACCATTGCCAGTGACACCGCCTCACGCGCTTCTTGCTGGCAGATGATGTAGATTCGTCTCGGCGCATAGTGCGTGAAGATGCCCTCGAGCACAGTGCGTGTGAAGGGTCCCATGGCCTTCAAGGGAATCACAAAGTCCATGGAGGGAACCCGCACGTCCTTGGACTCTGTGAGGACCAGCCGCAGGTCGAAGCAGAAGAGGGCCACACAAATCGCTGCCAGCATGGACAGTGTCAGTGTGCTGCCAGCCACCAAGACCCCGCCCGAGCTGGCGATCGACCCGACAACAAGGGGGATGATGACGTCTGCCAAGGAATTGAAGAAGCGGCAGGCATTCATGAAGCTCTTGGAGTGTTCTCTAGGCGCATGCAGAATGGACAGGGCAATCGCGGCACCGGCACTTAGACCACATGCTAGGCCCAAGAGGCTGGCCCCCTGCACATACAAGTCTATCCGGGGTATGCACAGAATGTGAATCCCCACAGCTGACATCAGCAGGGAGACCAAGACAAGTGGCAAAATGCCTAGGTGCTCCATCATTAATCCCCCAAGAGGAGCAGCGATCAAGGACTCCATCTGCGACATGAATGCCACGTTGCCCACGAAGCTTGTATGGATCTCTGTCTCGGCGCCAATCAAGGGGATCAGGAACTTCTGAGCCTCCCTTGCAATCGCCATGGTGAAGATGAGGAAGCAAACCTTTGCAAATTGTGATGAAAGCCATGACATCCTTGAGGCTCGTTTAGGGGCTGCCAGAGCTGGCATCGCTTCCGACTTCTCCTTCTGGCAGGGCGAGGCTGCGACCGTTGCCTCAATGTCCTCATTGTGCAAGCCAGCTCCAGGCCCAGGAGGCGTTGCCTCGGGTTCTGGAAGCTTCTGCCTCACAATGTGGCCCCGCCGTGCTGCACTGCAGGTGAACAGGAGGAGGCAGGCGTATAGCATCAGGCCCCCACCGCACAAGAGCCCAAGATTGGTGTAGATGGTGCAGTCTATGAAGGAAGTCAAGAAGGCGGCCATCGCAATGCCGACGATGTTGGAGGCGCTGACCCAGCCTGACACGAAGGCCTGCCCGTCTCCCACCGCTTCCGCTTGGTAGAAGGTCCTGGCGACCACGTGCCTCGTCTCCCCGCAAATGAGAAAAGGCATGAAGGATCCTAGAACCCCTGAGCCTGCTACATGCGGCCATGGTGCAGGGATTGGGCAAAGCCCACGAAACCTGTGGCCCCCGCCAAGCCATAGAGGCGCAGCTCGGGTGCAGACAGGATTCCTCCAAGAAGCACACCCGCTAAGCCTGTCGCTGCGGCCAAGATGCACCTCAAGAACAGAGCACGAGGTAACAAAATAGCATCCATCTACTTAAGGTCTGCATGCATTGTTGACTACGCTCACACCCTTGATGCTTTGCTAGGGTTATCACCTGGATTGCAACTGACATGCTATTATCCAGACATTCTTCGTCGCAACCGCGGAGCATGAGCCAGGGTGGGAGCAAGCTGCCAAGTTTAAAGGCGATAAGGTTTGCGAGGACCAGGCCCAAGCCAAAGCTGCCAGCGACAAGGCCAGCACTGCTTGCATCGCTGCCGGCAGACATCACGAACTGGGGCCCGGCAACGATCAACAAACCTGCAACTTAGGCAAAAGCTCACCCTAACACTTCTCATCTTTTCTCATCGCGCCTCCACAAGCATGCATCACTGTGTTCGGCAACAAGAGGGCCATCCACACATGCAGAGGGACGCCGGAGCCTCCCTTGCCACGCCACAACGACTTCGCACCTTTGAGAACAACAAGGCCCAACATCATGGTGAGTATGACCGCGGCCGTGATGACGGCCATACCGATGTGCCACATCATCTTCCAATGATTCTCTGGGCCAGCAGCGAAGTCATCTTGCAAAGCTCCGTGTTGCTCCATACAGCACGAGGAAATGCAGGTGGGCGGGCTTGTGTCCCTTGAGCTTGCAAGACTGCGGCAAGATAAGATGTACGTGAGCGGGTTGGAAAAGCTCCAAAAGTATTGCGAAGAAGCTCCTCGGAATCTTTGAGGACAAGTTGTTTGGCAGGGATTTATGTACAGCTGGTTCTATAGCTGCCTACACCGGTGGGAAACCGACACCGAAGGCGCTGGATCCTAAGAGCGGCGCCTCGACTCAGAGGAAGATGCCCTTTTGCTGGAAACATTGCAAAGAGCAAGGAGCCAACATGTGCTGCTAGAATAGAAGAGGGTCGCAAGTGCTAATGGAAACTTTCATCTCATGCCGGTTTCACTAGAGCCATTGCCAACATCATGCTGCTGTTCTTTGCCCCTCTTCCTTGTGATTGCTATCGGTATGTACATACAAGTCCTACGACTGCAACACCGGTCCAAAGCTCAAACCCGAGCCATGGCACCTCTTTCTGCTGCTGAAGCTGCCGGAGCTGCTCAAGTCTCAAGTCCAGACCCTTTTCGTAAGCTTTCGCTTGGGCTTCATATGGCTTCATGATCTTCATGCTTCGTGTGAGAGGTGAGGCTTGATTCTGCGGAATGACTCAATTCCTACAGAACAAGAGCTCCTCCCTACTGTTGCATCCCACGTGAATGCTGATCATCAGTCCAGTATGGTCCAGGTCAGGAAGGTGGAGAGCACTGCATCCGCATCAAGCGGCTTCAACAAGGGCCTTTTTCAGTCGAATTTTGGTAGCGTGACGGTGAAAGCTGCTGCAGGGTGGCTTCGCCATCTGCTAAGAACTAAGACAAAAGACTTGGCGCGGAGAGTCAAAGTTGCGAAGGGCTCAATCAAGCACATGGCGATGCGTGCTGCCTACCTTGACTCTCTCACTTGCGTGGGCTGCAGGTCACTGGTTGCAAACTACAGGAGGCCGAACTCTCGGCGTGCCTTCGTCCACACTGACACACTTTGCCATCATGCGTGTGAGCCCTGGTCTGTCATGATCCATGCGAAGAACCACGGGAAAGGCCACCAACCCAGCATGCTCACGATGAAGCCTCATCGGCAGCGCGGGCAGCTGCCTCGTTGGGTGCCTCAATCTCATCAGGTTCTCCACTACTTGAGGGGCGAGCCGAGGCCAACGAAAGCTTTTTGGGCAGCCGTATGCATCTGAACCTCAAGATCCTCTACACTCACTGTGAAGTTTCACTGTGAGTATGAAATCTAGAAGGTTTGCTTCAGGTACTTCCTGCACGTAGGCAGCCCCACTAGCCGGCTCCAAAATTGTCGACGGACAGCCAGCCTGTGAAGTTGAAGCCATGCATACGAAATTGGGGGGCTTTTGGTAAGCTAGGAGGGTTTGGGAGATCCTGAAGCCAGTGCCACGACAACGCCGCACATTGCTCCGCCCAGTGTATTCTGGGGCGTCCCTTTCTAAGTCCTCCCCTTACCTCACCCCCTTTTATAATGGAACGCACTATTGAAACAACAGTCCCTCTCTAAACGCTTTGCCGATGCTCTAAGAATGCGGCCAAACAACTTTGAATGTAGTGTGCGAGGGGTGGCTGTGAGTCTTGTTGTCGTAATTGTTGATTTGAAGTGGTTGGCTGTGAGGAGTCCAAGACCTTCGTGTAGAAGGTGGCTGGGATGCGGTGCATCTTCCGCAACGCCTTCAAATGGAAGGACTCCAGCCTGTGAAGGTTTGCCTGTGTGAGGGCTGCGGACTCCATTCCATAGACCAGCATGGGCACAAAGACCGCATTGTACATACGGAGCTTCCAATGTAGAGGGAGCCCCGTGTGCCGCCAAAAATGGTGGAGAGTATTGAAGTGCTTGCGAGCCTTCGCCAGCCTCTCCGTTACGTCTTTGCGGGACGAGCCATTTCTTGACAGCATCACCCCCAAATATAGGCGTGCTCCACCTCGTTGATCTCTTCTCTTGTGAGGTTGCACACAGGGTTGCGAGAATAATGGGACTTCAGCAGCAAGCATTTGTCCCAATTCGACGCAAGGTTGCTGTGAGCAGCCGTGAGCTTTGTGAGGGCCACTAGCTGCTCCGCTCTCTCGGCTGTGGAGGCGACCAAGGCCGTATCGTCCGCGTAGGCCAGGTCGTAAAAATTGGTCTGCTGCCCAAATACCCACGGCATCATACCTCCATTCTCAAGCAACTGTGAGTCCACGTCATGTAGGATTATGATGTGCACCATGAGGAAGAGGTACGGTGAGAGTGGGCATCCTTGCCGAATGCCCGATTTTGCACAAAGCCCTCGCTGGTGTTGCCGGCGGCCTTGACTTGAAACAACTGTGAAGTGTAAATGCTGCTGATGAGGGTGACCATGGACGGCGGGACCCCTTAGCGTTGCATCGCCACTTCTAGCGCCTCCACGCTAACGCGATCAAAGGCCTGTTTCCAGTCGAGCAGCAAGACGTAGAGGGACGTGCCTGTACGCTCTGCTTTTTCAAGTAATCGACGAAGGATGTGAACTGGTTGCGACGTCGCTCTCCCGGTCCTGAATCCGTACTGTGAGGGCCGTAGACGGTCGTCAATGGCTTTCTCCAATCGCTGTTGTACGATGCGCGCCATGAGTTTGTACGCGGTGCTCAACAAACTAATCGGACAATAATTGTTCGGGTCTGTGAGAGAGCCCTTGGCCTTGTAGATCTCCACGACTAACGCCTTTTGCAAATCCTGTGGGATCGTGCCGGCTGTGAGGGCTTCGTTCAGGATGTCCAACAAGTAGCGGCGGTTCTCCTCGGTCATCCACTGCCAAACTTCCGTGCACCCCCGCTGCTTTGTTGTTCGCTGCCTTACGCAGCGCCGCGTTGAGCTCCTCCATCGTGAAAAGCTCCGTGTTGACATCGGCCTGTGGGGCGACGGGGTCTCTGTTGCCGGTGTACGGGTGGGACGGCGGGCCAACGAAAGCTCGCCGGGCTTTGCCTAGGACTGGAGTAGGGTAGAAGAGGAGGAGGGAAGGTACATGAAGCAAAAAGCACAAGCCTCGTTACGGGGCCTGGAAGAGCCTTCGCAGAATCTTGCCAACTCGACTCCAATGTCACTTTGCACGCCACCTGCCTTTCCGGCTCTCTTCTCCCGACTTTCCCCCTTCTCCCAGTCTTTGCTCCACGTTTCACTCCACTGTCCAGTCTTACTCTGACTTTACTGTGGATTCCACCCTGACTCCAGAGACCAGTCTAGTTTTCACTCCATTCTTATTCGCTTTCTGCATGACTCACCACTCCACTCTGCAATGTGCTCTCCACTCCTCTCCAGTCTATACTCCACCCTCCTCTGTTTTTGCACCTCACTCTCCACCTCTTTCCACCGCACTTTCCCCTCACACCTGTCCCTTCCACTCCATTCCATTCGGCAATGGCGCAAGTAGCGTAGGTCCAGCATTCTCTGCCAACGTCCAAGAGCGAGGCACAGTCTCACTGTCCGTCCCGATCACAGGTTCGCATGCAACGAAGACACGGTCAGGTACGAGCATGGCAAACTAAAGGCGCCCTTGCCTGCGACAGTGGGCACACGAGGCTCCAAAAGTGGCGACGGTTGCCAGGATGGCGACCCCAAGGCGTCTCATCCCTGTCACTTTTCACGCGCAACAAGGACGCGACTCTCCAAAAGCAGATAAAGTTACCAAGATGGCTACCCCAAGGTGCAGCAGCCCTGTGACTGCTGGCGCTCATGAACATTTCATTCCCCCTTGAGGGGTCATGGTACCGAGCACGTCATGGTCGTTTCATGTCGCCTTCTTCTCTTTTTGGTGCTCTTTGTATGAGTACAATGACCCCTTTTTGGGCCAGAGCGCGGGTAAGTTCACTCTGCGTGGTTGAATCAAAACCTCTCTTCCCCTTTCATAGTGTTCCCGACGTTATGTGGTCATGCTGCAAGTAACATCTGGCTCAGTTGTTCCATGTCACCTTCTTCTTGCTGAGTGCTCTGCGGAAGGGGTCCTGTTTTCTCTGGGAATCCATGGCCGAGCAAACTCATTGCGCACGTGCCCGCAAGCGTCCGCAAAGCGTCTGCAACGCGTCCACAGGTCTTCGCAGGCTTTTCCAAGCATTCGCGCAGTCACCATCCTCGTACAGGTGCTTTCGTTTTGGGACGTGGTTGTTGCGTCGCGTGTCAAAGGTGCATTCAGTCGCGGGGGTAGGGAGCGTCAGTACAACCATCGAGCTTAATGCCACTGATACCAGGCTCATGCATGAGCATTTTTAGCAAGCACTACAGGAGTGGCAAGGTCTCAACAGAACAAGAAATTGCTTGTTTCAAGACCAGGCAAAGGTATCGAACACAACATGAGGAGGGAAAGGTGCAATGCAACACCCCGGCATGATGCTGCCTGCCGGGTAGTGACCACAACAAAGGAGCCAGGGAGGTTTGACGAAACGACCAGCACGGTTTATACTTATCATGACTTTGCAAGGGGTGTGCACACAAAGGGGAGCAAAACCTTTAAAACCACCAGCATCATGCTATCCGTATTGTGAACTTGCTGCCGTAAGGCAAACGATAGAATAAGTATGAATAAGTAGGGAGGATTGACCCGACTACCACACTCGTACCATGACCATACAACCGTCGTGAACTGTGAACCGCGACAGACAGAGTACAGCCCAGAAGTTTGATTTGACCACCAGAAACGACGTCCTGGGAGTTCAGGACTAGAAAATTAAACTGCTTAACCGCAGGAGCACAAACACGTGCAAGGCGGTGAAGTAAAGGTAGGGAGAACAGGAGTGGAAGGTAGGAACAAGAGAAGACCCCAATATGTCATATTTCTGAACAGTATGTAGGTGGGACAATGCAAGCACGGATATTTCAGCCAGGAACTTATTCTTGGACCCCAACAGGAGCATACTATATTAGATACGGATATATCAGAGCGCATACGCTAGCAAATCATTACACATCATTACTTCTCATTAAATCAATTTCAGCCTTCAATCTAATCAGGAATCAGACCCCACAAGAGCAACCATAGCAGCACAAATCAAGCGAGCTAGGCTTGGGTTTAGTCTTGCTTTAGCAGTGGTGAGTGGTAGCCTTCAAGGTCTGGAAGACTACGTAACGTGTGACATAACTAGGATCTATCACTAGTGAGGGAGGAACCTTAAAACACGAGCGCAAGATTACAACAAAGATCGGTTGCTAATAACAATTAACATGCAATACCAACAGAGGAAATATACAGACGGATAGAACATCCGACCTCAGAACAGGAACAATAGCATTACAACTAAGCGACACCCTCAGAATTGCAAGTAATAGAGCAGTTATAGATAACCAAACATTTAGTAGTATTGGAAATCTTGGTGGAAAGGCGGATGTCACTAGTTGGGACCTTGATGTTTCAGAACAGCAGTGGATTTAAAGAAATGTTGGACACACAGTAGAAGTTATTTATCAGAAATAGCGATGCGTTACAGTGGGATTACAATCATCAACCCAGAGATTAGTGCAAATAGCTGAATAGAACACTCAAGCAAGCATTGCTAATCCATGGCCTGCATCTTTTCTCCCAGCTGATGGGATACCCGGAGCCGCTTGGCATCGGTCAATTGAACGCGCATGCATTCGGATCAACTACGCACACTGCCCTTTAGCACTGACACAAACTCTTTCTTGGTCCGAATGCTTACGTTTCAACTGCCGTAGACTTTCACCGTGAAACTCAGCCGTGTTCATGGTCTCTCTCATCTGTTTCCCCAAACCTCTTTTAGTAAGGGGATCGGCACGCTGAAGCCTAGTGGGCACCCACAGAAGATTAGTCTTAGCGCGAGTCGAGACCCCACACAATTGTCTGAGCAACACAACCCCAATCAAATAGGATCTGTCACCCGAACTGCATCCTTCTTTCTTGACACAGTCAAACAACGACTTGCAGTCAGTGCACATGTGGTAGTTTCCCTAAATTACTGTTCCCAAAATGGGGGAAATTTATATAGGGCCCCGTATTATAATGGGAACCCAAATATAGGACCCCGTATTATAGGGAATTTAGACCAATCTCCATGTACATAGGGGCCCTCTCTTGCCACTCGTTTTCATCAAACTCACAAACAACCTTAGAACCCCACTTAAACTCACACATGAGGGCCTGCACATGTCTACCCAAACTGTGACCTTGAACCGCAGCGTGCGACTCAGCAGCAAAACTGCTTTCGATGACTCTCTTGTTCGTGCTCGACTTCCACTCGATGATGTTCATGGCCTTGGAACCCTGACTAGCAGTACTGCCTTTACGGACACAGCCCACCAGAACACCCTTTTGGGAGTACACAAGTCTCTTCTCTTTATCACTGAGCAACACCTGATCAGCGTCCTGGGTTTCTAGCTCAACCCCGACAGAATTGAAAAGAGCGGCATCGTGAAACACCACAATTTCGCACTCCTTACCCAAGTTCTCGAACACGAGTTCCACCGAGTCACTGCTCTTCACTTCTCTGACCAACGCATTAGCACGCATCAGATCGAAAACTCTCAGATCAGGGACCCGTTTCTGGAGTTGGTTGACCTCGAAAGCTATATCAGGTCTGCTCTGCGCGCTAAGCCATTGAAGGCTGCCGATGGTGCTGCGAAAGTCAGTTCGTTCCTGACCGTTTGCTGTGCTGTCAGCCTGACGCTTACGGTCAGCGCTCAACGGAATGGGATCCAATTTGCCAATCACAAAGTCTTTCTGCTTCAAGACGATGCATTGGCTCCCGTTCCTTTCTTCGACGCAGACTTCTTTGCCGCAGCACCGAACCTTGCCTTCCTTGGCCACTACTGACCATTCCCCAAATGGGAATCTACGATGGAGGCGGTCGATCACAGACTCTGAGTAGGAGGAACCGTCACCAGCAATCATAACATCGTCAACATGCAAGGTAAGCATAGCAATAGGACAATGATTACGATCACGCAAGATGAACCATGAAGGATCCAAACAGGATTTCTCAAAACCCAGTTCATTGATCAGAACTTTTGAGAACTCATCAAACCAAGCCCTGGGGGCGTCTGGTCTGCCATAAACAGGCTTCTTGAGTCTCAGCAACTGACCACGCTCCATACCTGGAATGCCCTCCACAGGCTGTTCCATGTACAGAGGATCTCCGGTAGATTCTCCGCCTTGTAAAAAGGCGCTAGAGACATCCCCGGCTCTCAGGGAATTGATCCATCCAAAACTTGCGCACAAGTGAAGGAAGGTCATAAAGATGACTTTCTGGATAGTGGGAGCATCAACTTTCACCTCTCCTGATGCGCAATCAGGATCAAACTGGCCCTGCACGCACAAGCGCGCTTTGGCTTTGAGAGGCAACGGATTACCCTGGCTGTCAGTCATACCGGCATGCTTGTCACGGTAAACATACCTGGACTTAATGACCCTGTCCCCTCTTTCTCTTCTCACTCTCTCGCTCTCTCTTTGTGTCAACGGGGTGGCGGCATCGTAAGTAGTCCACGAGTTCCACTCTTTGGCGCGGGCCTCATCATACGCTTGCTGCTGATGTGGCGGAATTTGAGAATACGGAACTTCTTTTTCAACAGCCCTCTTAGCCTTTTGCGAACTAACAGCAAACACAACTCTCTTGCCTTCTTCAGTCTTACTCTTCTTGCTCTCGCGCTGTTCAGCTTCCAGCACCCTTTCTCTTTTAAACAACGACACAAGAACCTTGGCTTCCGCGTCGGGGAGGGGCGCTTTAGGATCATCCAAACTTTCCCACCGGACTCTCCTCTCCAACTGTTTTCACGCCCCAAACTCATCCCTCACCCACGTGGTACGAAACGGAAAGCTTTTACCGGAGTACCTAGGCACAGGAGTACGGAACGTGGCAGCATTATGGGAAATCAGGAACGGCCCACCCTCGTAATCGTCGTGCCAACCCGGGAACCTACAACGAATACGAACTTCCGTAGGCAACTCACGCTCAAGGTTAAAGCCATCCGCCCCCACCTCGCTAGCATGAACGTCCTCTCCCTCCCCCAGCATGTCTTTGTCAGTGGCGTTCTGGTCGAGGACCCATTGCGGAACAGTAGGAGCAAACAAAGTGACCAACATAGGGCATGAGTTGATACTAGCTCGTTTTACACGACAAGTAGTCAGATCATCAACCCCAACGACAAGCCAGTTGTCACCGTCTCGAATCAATGACACTCTGACAGGTCTGTTCTCTCCAACATGTTTGGGATCACCAGCTTCAAGGCAAGTAGCGTTTTCAGTCACTTTAACAAAACACTCGCCATACCTAGTCCAACCCGCATTCTTCACACTATTCAGGAACCCCAAAACACTACTATCTCGGACTATGATGCTTTGATCGTCCAGACATGTCGGACCGGCTTGACCAGTCAGATCGTCATAGCTAGCGCCCTCAGGGGCTCGGCGAAAAGCTTGCAAGGCCTTCTGCATCTCCGGCTCCAACATGATAGATTCTTCTTCATTAGCATACCGCAAATGCTCGGGAGCAATGAGAAAGCATCGGCCACCAAAAGTCACCCAAGCGTTGCGTTTATGCAAACCAATAACGCAACTTGGGCCAATCCAGTTGGTGATCTGTTCGCCGCTCTTCCTATTCCTGGATTCTCTCCAAAAGAAGACACGATCACCAATCTTGGGGTGCAAGCAAACTCTGGTTCGGTTGTGCAAAGTGCGGCTGAGCATGCTCCTGGTTTGATGCTTGATAAACTCAAGCTTGGCCAAGTAACGGAATCTGACCTTACGCGCGAGTTCACTCTCCCGCTCAGCCACGCTAAAGTGATATGACGCAGGGGCGCCATCTTCATACACTTCCCCGGCATACCGAGGCTCGCGACCGAACACCAAGCTAACAGGAGAAAACCCATGCTCGCGGGTCAAGCTGTTCTTAGCCATGCACGTCTCCTTAACAGCATCTTCAATCTCGTTACCAGTCACATGCGCATGCTTCACAACACCCTCCATCATGTTCTTCAGGATTTGGTTATGCTTCTCAATCTTCCCCGCTTGAAAATGGGCTTGCCCTGCAACGCTATGCAACTCAACCCCTTGCACACTCAGCAATCGAGACAACTCGTCAGAGGAAAACCCACCTTCCTGATCACACGTGATTTCACGGGGGACCCCAGCCCACGTAAACCAACAATTCTTCAACCCCAGAAGAATATTTCCGGCAGAATGAGAAGGCAACTTATACACTTGATGAAACATGGTACACTTGTCAACAACGCTCAAGAACCAATGACCCTTGCCCACACTGTCATACATCATAACAGCATCAATCTTCAGGTGATCCCCGAACTGCAGTTCAGGAGGTGGTATGTTGCCCGATCTCGGTGGTTTGGGCCGCATCTTATGGCGGCACGTTGCGCAATCAATCCATGCGGCAGCCTCAACTAGCTCTTTCTTGGCCCCTCCCAGTCTAAGGAACCTTTGCAAGTCAGCAGTACTAGGGTGCCCCAAGTTAACATGGATCTTCCGCAGAGCTTGCCGCAAAGGTTTAGTGAGCACTCGGCCGGATGGCACGTTGAAGCCCACACCTTCTTCGCAGAGTCGAGCTCCACCCTCCTCATGAGGACGACCATCATCTTCCATCGCCACGTCCTCTGAGGGGTTTTCATTTTCAACAGCACCTACCCAATGTTGCAAAGTACGCTGAATTTTTCTTTCACTCCAGCGGAGGGGAACTCTGCCTTCCTTAGAATTCCTGATCCGCTTCTGGACAGCTCGCAACAAGCTCAACACACGGCCAGGCTCCTTCCGCTTCAACATGCGAATAAAACCCTTATGGACATGCTGCAGAAAGATCTTATCAACATGTTTGCAACTCCGGCCATGCTTGCACAACCACTGTTGAATCTCGTCATGGATTTCCATGCAACTCACAAGCCAAGTCACCATGCTCCTATGCTCACGGTCGCCCAACTCAACAGTGGTACAATGCACATCCGGATGGCTAATGATCCTGGCCAGTGCGCCTTCAGCACAAGCAACGTCAGCAGCAGCGCACTTCCCAAGCACATCTCTACCATGCTTAGTTTGCGCATCACAAATGGACTCAAGGAAAGACCACAACTGCATGTGTTTGGCTCTGACCCTACGTTGCTGCTGTCGCTGCACGTTGTTCAACTCCTCGGCTCCCCCTCCTCCAGGAGGCTGGGGACAATCAAAAACCACAAGTCTAGGCTGCTCCTGTTCGATTTTCTCCAAAAGAAAACGTTGATACCTAGCGTCAAAGAGGTCTCCAGGCTCATGTCTCTCAAGCTCGCGGCAAAACCAACCCCATTTACCAAACATAGTAGAAATACAACCACTACACGACCCAATTTCAATAACATCAGGTTGAGCAGACCCAAACACGGTAGCAGGTAGCAACCCCTGTACAGTGGCACCACAGATGCCCGATGCTACTGCAGACAAAGTCAGCAAAATGCTGTATGCGTTGCCCATGAGTCGCTTTGCAACTCCCCGCTTCATAATCTTCTTCTCGACACGTGCTTTGGAGATTCTGGCCTCAATCTCACCTCGGCTCAGCGGTCTGGGCTTCCACTCCCCAGGCTCTTTCACTCCTGGGGCTTCACATTTTGTCTTCCGGCGCTCGTTTAAGGCCTTCAACTCCGCTGCTGTCAGGTTGACATTGAACTTCTGATCGCCCTTGTCCTCGGTCGCCATGCGATCGCTCACATTCTCCCATGACCCCTGCGAGTCGCCCACGCAAGCTTCTGGCGACTTGGCGTAGCCACCCTTCCTGGCCATCTCCGGCGGGACCGTTGGGCCGTCCTTGTCCCGCTGCTGCTTCTCCATGGCCGCCATGACAACCGCTGTTGGTTTTCCATCGATCAACAATGGAAACGTCCTTTTGCAGTTGGGGAACAGGTGACATCCCCAAAACTTGTTGGCTGTCACACGGTTCGTGCGCTGCAACATCTCCACGCCGCAGTCGGGGCATGTTGGCGCCATTGGGCGACGAACATCCTGGTCGCTGGCCTCGCCCTTTGGTCATGGCCGCCGAGGTCCCAGTCAGGGCAAGCTCCTCCATGATGTCGGCCTCGTACATCTCGATCTCCAAAATGAATCGGCTCTTGGTCCATCCCTGCCAGTGATTGTCTTGCTCCCGGAGGTAATAGACAAGAACCTTCTCGATGTAGAAGTTGCGGAGCGTCTCGACCGTGCCTCGTTTCCACCCCGCCGGCAAGGGCCCAGCTTCCTTCTTTGGCTTCAAGGTCCGGTAGATCTCCTTGAGCCTGTCCAGGGACATTGACTGCAAGTCCGCCGCCGCCAGGGTGACCTTCGGGGATTCGAGGATGCGATCGATGTACTCCTGCTTCCTCTTCGGCGCTCCCTTGTTCGGAGTCACTTGGGCCATGGCGACTATTTACAAGTCCAGCTGCTCTATCACACTCACGCTGATTCAGATGACACTGCTCAAGCACATCACTGATATCCCTCATGTGGTTACGCGGCTCCGGGAACACATCACACGAAGGATGACTATCACTCAAAGCCCTTGTCCTGAGTCTGGTGGTGCCCTCGGACTCACACACAAAGAAGATCTCTGCCTCCTTCTCCCGATCAACCGTGCTCCAGTCCAGTTTGTCTCCCCAATGGCATGTCTCTGCCGCCATGATGCTGAACCCAACATGTCCCGTTGACGTAGTCACCAGGGCCGTCTCGCAACCCAGCTTCTCGAACTTCATGCTGCCATCGACCAGATTCATGATCATGCCCATGGCTTGCAGGGCACTGCGGCTGATCAACAGCGGCACCTCCTGATCGACGATGCTGGTCCGCAACAACACCGGCAACTTACATCCGGGAATGCACAGCGGAAACACCAATGCCTTAGAGGAGAAAACTTTTGGACCACCACCAAACCTGAAAGGCTCTCTCTCGGTGATGTCCTTGTAGGGCAGCCCTCGCTGCTTCAGTTTCGCCACGTGGGTGGCGACCCATTCTTGGCCGGCAACTGTTTTGGCACAACATGTATCGGACAACCCCAAACCAATGCTCTCTTCCCTCAAGCATCTTTGCCCCAGGCCGGTGCCATGTGCAAGGAAAGCTTCGTCATCGTCGTTGTCGTCGTCCTCCTCCGAGCTGGCTTGTCCAACTACAAAGGCCGTATGGTTGCCCTCGCCAGGCTCGTTCTCGGTGATGAAGGCACTCTTATCCTTCTTCTTTTTGGTCTCCTCATAGTAGGGGCACTCCTTGTCCGAGTGCCAGTGCCCATACACTGTTTTGCCGGCAAGCGTTGCAGGGCATGCGCTGCTTCATGGCCGAGATTCTTTTTGCCCGCTCCTCTGTGCTCTCGGCTTTCTGAAAGCCTCTGGCTCGCTCGACCATGGATCTACGCTTGGCGGCTTGCGTCATCAAAACTGAAGCCTCTTGCTCCATGGCTTCTGCCATAGCCATTTCATCCTGGGCCTCGGCTTCTATGGCCAGGGCTTCGTTCTCAGAGTCGTCGTCTCCGAAGTCCCCGACCATGTTAACGCGATGATCGAACCGCCGCCCCTTCCACAGTCTGCTCTGCCCGGCTTCGCGTTCAGTCTGGCCATCTGAACGGCTGACCGTCGGACTGATAGCCGCCAAGGCGTCCCTGAGTTTCTCATATTCATAGCTGCCTCCGGAGGCCGAAACAATCTTCTGACGCATGTCTTCAGATATCTCGGCTTTAGCCAGAAACCAGTACCCCTTCGTCAGGCCTTCGATGCCTGCCCCGACCTCCTCCAAGAGCTTCACTTGGGCACGAAAGGCAGAGTCGTAGGCGATGACATCCTGGCCCCTTTGTCTTTTGAACTGCTCATAGAAGCCATGCAAAGTCTTGAAGACACGGACAAACTCTAGAGGTTCCAGCTCAGCCCACATGTGATCAAGAAGTATCTGAACCCCCTCATCGCACTTCAAGCTGGCGATGTCCAATGTCTCCGTGGCTTTCCATGCCTGGCCTGACATCCGTTCCACCAAGCGCCCTGCCTGGAAGCACTTGTCAATGGAAGTCGTGGACTCGAAGAGGCGGACGCGTCTCTGGTACTCCCTCATCGAGGACGCTCCATCATACTCCGGGACAAGCTCCTTCCCAGAGTTCTTCTTTGATGTCGTCGTCGACGATGTTGAGTTGCCTTCTTCGGAGGCAGTCACGCTGACGCTGTCGGCCTTGACGGCTGTGTTTTGTTCGCTCCACCATTTGCAGAACTCCTTAGTCGGACTGAACCACTTTCTCTCGATTGCCCATTCAATAGCTTGATCAAGTGATTCGCCCCATGTCCACCCCAAAGGAGTTTCCCACCACTTGCCAGAAGTAGCTGCATCTGGCTGCTTGGTTTGCTCGCCTCCGCCAGCGCTCGTGCTAGCAGAGTCTAAGGAAGAGCGCCTGCCCCAGGTTTCCTGCCAAGGATCGGTTGCTTGATAGTCTGTCCTGCTTGCTCCAGACCACTGATTCTGCCAGGTAGGCTGCCACTGCCACCCTTGCCACTGGTTTTGCCAACCCCGCCAATCGCTTTGATCTTGATTGCTAGCTTGCTGCTGCTGCTGCTGCTGTGCGTTCTCAGTAGCCATGCTACCCCAGATCGCCGCCCTGCTCCGCAGCACCAATGCAAATATCTGAATAGAACACTCAAGCAAGCAT